GTTGTGACTGTTTAAAGTATATATAAATTGGGTGGCTGGGTTAAAAGTGAGGTGGCCGGTCTGTGGGGGTGGCCAGTCTTTGGGTGACGGACGTTAAGGCTAATTTCAGTGATGAATCTCAGACTTGATCTTGTGTTAAATATAGTTTGTATATCTAGTACTTGATAAAAGAATTAATAAGGTATCTGCAATTAATTTGTCAGGGCTGGGACGCTTCGCGCGTCAGTCTATAGAACAATCCCAGGCTGAATTCACAGTTTGAAGCAAGCTTCCAAGAAGGCCTGACTGTGTACCACAGAGAATGGGATGAATGATGGAATTACACATCTACGTCTGACTTGAATTGCACTGTAGAGAATATCAACATCGTTCTACAATGTCGGCAAGAAGACTGGCTTTATGCTCTGGAATCTGAATGCCATGGCCATTGACACCCGAACATAGAACATGCCAGCTTTCGAATTCTCACCTGACGCAAATGTTTGATCTTAGTAGTCCTCTGTCTTGTGGTGTCCCATGGCTGAAGTTGTATGCTCCTCTGAATTTTGTGTCCAGGTCGATGCGACCCATGTTTTCGTTCAAGAGCTGCTGTTAAAATCATGGCCACCAGATAAGATCCATGCTGTCAAAGATATGGCTTTAGCATGGAGAATCGAACATTGCGGCTTGAACTTAGATGAGTATTGCGGGAGAGTTTGAGAATGAATCTTATGGTATGATTTGATGCGATCTGCCATTGAACAACAAGGTTCGCTGGTGAACACCAAAGTAGTGGGGGATCTGCAAAGATTAAACCCAGTCTCCAGCGTCATACTGATCTGCGAATGATTCCTCAGCCTTCATGGTTAATTGAAGAGAATTCATGATTAGAAGACCATCAAATGATTCAAAATCAGACGAGAAGGCTGTGATGAAATGTGGACTGATTTATCCAGCTGTTCTCGTAGTGCACTGCAATACACTGATGGACTGATGCTCTGATGCGCGGTTTAAGAAAAAGCTTCCCCACTGAACCGTCCCTCGGACCAATCATAAAACACACATTTCAACCACTGGCATGAGCTGCGCTGGAGGTGCACAACAACAAACGGCTAGAGAATTATCCGGGCCAAAGGCTAAAATTTTCTTTCTCCACGTTCACGTCAAAAAGGATCCCCCGCCCTCAGCCTTATTCACCATATCATACATTTGAACTGATCTCCAAAATGGCCGCCTACGATACCTACCAGACAACTCTCACGGGCCGCTACTGCAGCCAGGAGCTGTCCCATCTCTTCAGTCAGCGATCCCGCCACTCCACCTGGCGCAAGCTATGGCTGTACCTCGCTGAGAGCGAGAAGGAGCTCGGCATCAACACCATCACCGACGAGGCGCTCGAGCAGATGAGGACTCATCTCACTGTTACCGATGAGGACTTTGAGGTTGCGCGCCATGAGGAGAAGATCCGTCGACATGTGAGTGTATATCGCTAGAGTGTCGTGGGGATAAGCGAGCTGACTAGCGTACCAGGATGTCATGGCTGTAAGAAACACGGTACATTGACAATTTTTATAAGACTGATGAGGTGTATAGCACGTTCATGCTTTTGGTCAAGCTGCTCCTGCTGCGGCTGGTATTATCCACTACGGCGCCACGAGCTGCTACGTCACCGACAACACGGAGCTCATCCTCATGCGCGACGCTCTCGATCTTCTCATCCCCAAGCTCGCAAAGGTTCTTTACAACCTGCAGAAGTTTGCGCTCGAGTGGAAGAACGAGCCAACTCTGTCTTTCACACATCTTCAGCCTGCGCAGATCAGCACCGTCGGCAAGCGAGGTTAGTTTTTCTCTGGTTGGTGGAGTTACCATGTTCTGACAGTATCTAGCTGCGGGCTGGGCGCAGGATCTCTTGATGGATCTGAATGAGTTTGAGCGCGTGCGAGCTGAGCTCAAGTTCCGTGGTGCCCAGGGCACTACTGGTACCCAAGCCAGTTTCCTTGAGATGTGAGTCAAATTACTTGTTGCTGCTGGGCCAATTCCTGACATTTTCAGTTTCGGTGGTGATCATGACAAGTGTGACAAGCTCAATGAGCTGCTCTGCCAAAAGGCTGGCTTCGAGGAGTGCTATGACGTAAGTGCATGATATTGCTTTTCCGGTACTTTACTAACACCTCTCAGATCTCAACACAGACATAGTAAGCCTCGAGATGCAGATGGCTCCCTTTGTTGATACTGATGATCTTGTAGCACCCGAAAGGTCGATTGTCTCGTTGCCAACGCCGTCACTGGCCTGGGAACTACCGTCACCAAGATCGCCTCGGATCTGCGACATCTCGCCTTCATGAAGGAGGTTGGCGAGCCCAGAGAGGCTGGTCAGATTGGAAGTAGCGCCATGGTGAGTCCCATCCTTCAAAATCTGTTTTAACATCTCGGGTTGGTGACAATTTGCTAATTCTTTGTCAGGCCTACAAGCAGAACCCCATGCGATCTGAGCGAATTGCCAGTCTCGCACGAGTTCTCCAGTCCAAGGCCGCTACCTTCATGAGCACCCACTCCGCTCAGTGGATGGAGCGATCACTGGACGATTCAGCCTGCGTGAGTAACCCTGTTCTGTTCCCGAAGGCGTCTATCGCACATTCTAACCAGATCGCAGCGACGAATCGACGTCCCCGAGATGTTCCTCCTCGCCGACGCTATCGCCATCACCCTCCAGAACGTCACAGAGGGTCTCGTCGTCTTCCCCCTCAAGATCCACTCCAACATCGTGGCCGAGCTCCCCTTCATGATCACCGAGAACATCATCATGCGCCTGGTCGCACTGGGCGTGTCCCGACAAGAGTAAGCACCAACCTCAACCTCAACCACAATCAACACCTACTAACAAGACCAGGGCTCACGAGCAAATCCGCGTTCTGTCTTTCGAGGCCTCTCACCAGGTCCAGAGCCTCGGAAAGTCCAACGATCTTGTTGAGAGAATCAAGAAGACAGAGTTCTTCAAGCCCATCTGGGCTGATCTCGATGGCATGATGAAGCCTGAGTTGTATATCGGTCGCAGCGCACAGTTGGTTGATAAGTTCTGTGGACCCGGGGGTAAGTTGGAGAAGAAGCTTGCGCCTTACCAGTCTTCCATCCAGAAGGCCAAGGCTGCTGAGCTGAATGTTTAAGAAAATGCGGAGCAGATATCTGAACGAAAAGAAAATGGAGATTAGGGCCGGTGGTGACTGTAGGTAAACAGTCATGAATAAAAGAACCAGAAACCCAAGGGGCCTTGAAGCAAAAATTCACGATGTTGTCGAGCGAATTTAGAACGTAACCATCATGTGTTTGCAGTCATATATTGCTCTGCAAAAGCTCGGGGTATCAAGACCCGAGCAGCACTGCCGATGCGTAAGGTGTACCAATCGGCTACCCCAGTAAACCGGAGCGTGGAGATCCGCACTAACCCCAATGGCTTGACATGGAGTTGGCGCATTAAGCTTTGGAAATCCGGGGTGCCTTGTCGTGCCCCCAAACTTTGGTAGAAACACGATTATTGGCGGAATTATTTGAGCTGTTGAAATGCCTGCAAGAAATTAAATGATTGGATGAACTTGCCGAATATGAAGGTATATAGTTCACTGAGGGGACGCAAGTTTATCTGTTCAGTTTTGTCAGTCAAGTTCCGTGATCATTCTTTTCTTACTATGAAGTTCCTACCCCTCGCTGCAAGCATCCTAACCCTCTTCGGAGGTGTTGAGGCCAAGAAGTCGCCCTTCTTCATCTTGACGGGTGACTCTACCGTTGCCACCGGCGGAGGTTGGGGCGATGCCCTTCTTAACAGTACCAAGAAGCCCGCAGGTGGTATCAACATCGCCAAGAACGGTGCAACGACTGTATCTTTCCGATCCCAAGGATTATGGGATACTGCTCTCGATAATGTGAAGAGCCATAAGAAAGCTCACGAGGCTATTGTCACGATTCAGTTTGGCCATAATGATCAGAAGACTCTTACACTGGAGCAGTACTCGGATAACCTTGCTACTATGATTGGTGAGGTCAAAGAGGCTGGAGGCACTGCGGTAAGTTTAACATTTCGAATTGACGGTGCAGTGGCTGATTTAATGGCAGATTATCATTACGTCTCTTACCCGTCGTACTTTCAAGGATGGAAAAGTGGTTGAGAACCTTAGTAACGAGCGCGATGCTGCAATTGCTGTCGCAAACAAAGCAGGTGTTAAGTACCTGGATCTTAATACCGCAAGCACCAAGTATGTCAACGCTATTGGACAGGAGGATGCCGACAAGTATAATGAGATCGAGGGAGATCGCACTCATCTCAATTTCTCTGGAAAGTTGGTGTTTGGAAGGATTGTGATGGATTTGTTGGTTGAGAAGAGACGTGATCTGGCACGGTACATTGCGACGAACAAGAAGTTGAGTCAGCTTATTAAAGATGGGATTTATGCTACTGGAGCGGAGTGATTCTATAGAAGATAGTCGGAACTTGAAACAAAGACGCGGCGTTATCTCAAGGACAGCACCAGAATACAAATGGGTTATGAAAGCAATCTCAAGGGCTTACATACTGAAAACCTTTCCAAATCTGTGAAGATCCTACCAAATTGGCGTCGGCTGTCCCTTCGTAGCTGTCTTGGGAGGATAAGACGCGACCACAGTCGTCAACCATACCGAATACGCCAGCAAGATAACTCCCGCGACATACATGATAGGCTGGTCGAAGATCTCAGGCAAGACAGCGGCCCCCAAGCTGAACGGGGCAAACGTCCATATGGCACAAGCCACATTAGTTAGACAGAACCCAATCGACAGACCGTTTCGTGACCCACGAGACAGGTACTCGTGTGTCGGCCCGATGATCAGAAGGACATTGGTGAGCGCTCCTGTGAGCATGAAGCTACCAGCGCCGAGGAACTCGATCAATATCCAGACCAGTGCAAACATAGCGAGCTGCAGAAAGAAAGTGTACGTCAAGATTGACGAAGTAGCCGGCTGTTTTCCGAAGAGAGGCGAAAAGGTGGCGATGCGGTCTTTGGGGCTCTGTATGGTATACCACATGCAAAATATCTCAAGAACTGCCCATACTGCCAGCGAGAATGAGGTTGAGACGAAGAACCAATGGTAATCGTAGCGAGGCGCCGCTTCGGCGAAGAGATAAACAAATGTCAATTCGTGGGCGACGTAGAAGGTTTGCATCCAGAAGGGTATGGGGCCTTGGCCTTCGCGCACAAGAAGTCTTATGGCGTAGGTGTATTGTAGAAAGCCGATGGCGAAGCATGCGTTGGTCGCGATCATAACCGGAATGTTGTCGAATTGGAGGTTCTCCGCGATGCGTCCATAGTAGTCGATATTCATGATGATCTGTCTGAAATAGGCGAATATGGTAAGACTTTTCGTATGAAGTTTGCAACAGATGGCTGTGAATAAACCAAGAAGGATTTACATATAATATTTATCGTATTAAATACTGGGTAGGACACAGCTTTATATCAATACTAACTGCACTAGCGTTCCAGAATATCGGGTCGCAAGATCAACTGCCGAAAACGGTCCTGTGTCATGACCCGAAAATCCTGATCTCGGCACAGTTGAAGACCCCGATAGCCCGTTATGCTTGGACTAGAAAGCTGGAAATCTACCTTGAATACAAGAGTCGGTGACTTTCGAGGGTTTATCCTCGTATTTGCTGAGTTTGGAGAAATTCCGCCAGTTCTGATTGGTGCCTCGTATTTGGCTCGGGACGGGCATGGTATTTACGATAATAAAACGGGACAATCGGGTCAGTTGACGAGCGACATTCTAAAGGGCGTTAAAGTAAATAAAAGTGTCTTGGCAATTTTGATCAAGCTAGTATACAAATGACTCCATCCTGACTTCGGCTCGTAATATTCTCAACTTATGAATAGGGCAAAGAATCGTGGCCCTATGAGCTGGAAAGCGAATCAATATCCAACTCCTCAGTGCGACGCCGAACCAGCAGATTCGAAGAGTAATCGCCAAGCAGTTTAAACCCCGAGTGAGATGGCTGCGGCTTGCAACCCTCCGGTAGCTTCCAGTCATACTTGAGCAACATATGGCATAAGAGAATCTTGATCTCATTTGCAGCGAAGAAGCGACCGGGACATGCGTGAAAACCGTGGCCGAATCCCAGATGATCCGCGCTAGTACTCACAAGATGAGCTTTCTTGTCATCGCCGGTTTGACGCATCTTGACGAAGCGATAGGGGTCAAACTCGAGGGCATTGTCGTAAGTATCGGAATCCCACATATGTGACATTCCGCCGATGATCTTGTCGCCTTTCTTGAGGATGTCGCCGTTGGGGAGGGTAACGTCGGCAGTGGCGATTCTCCTGAAAGCACCTTGACAGAAATGTTAGAGGATGCTATAGGAAGGGGGATTGGAGAGACCTAGACTTACCGAGCAGAATTGGTCGCAGTCGTTGGGACTCCTTGACCACGCTGTCCATCAACTTCAAGTTATACAACGCGCCCTTGGTCAGTCCCCCTTCGGCAGTCAAAACCGCAATAATCTCCTCCCGAAGCTCCTGGAACAGTTCAGGATGTTGACAAAGATTGAGAAGCGTCTCAGCGAGTAGGTCAGAGGTAGTATGATACGCCACGATCGAAACAGCAATCTGCTCTGTAGCAGGATCATGCTTCTCATACTCTTTCTCAAACCACTCAATGGAATCATCGAAAGGAGATGGCTTTCCCTCGGCGAGTGCTTTCTGCTTGATAACTTTTCGTCGCTCGATATGAGGCTTAAGGCACTGTCGCGCTTCATTCAGCTTGGCGCGGACTTCCCAGCACTGCGGGAGGAACCAGTGGATGTATGGGCGAAGCCACCTGGGATAAGATCTCAATAAGCCGCCGTAGCCAAAAGCCAATAGAGTATATTCGCTCGAGGTCCTGTTCCACTCTTCGTCGCGGCAGAGCTCTTCGCCCATGAAGATTCGGGAAGAAACGCGTGATACCACGCGGATAAGGTCTGCCTGGGGTCGGATGGGGTGCCATTCTAAGCTTCGTCAGTCTTGCCGTCATGAGTATAAGCTGAAACAATTACCTCTGGAGTCGGTGAGAGTATCCCGAATTGACAAAGATGCTTCTTCCGATATGGGCCCTGTTAACTTCACTACACAATGTGAGTTAGCAGTTACTTTAGAAACAAGGCGATACCAAGACCTACTCAAAGCCTTTGTAATATACTTGTTGATAACAGTCGTAAGCTTATGAGATCCACCAAAAGGTTGGAAACCAGGAATGTACTCATGAGAATCCTGCGCTGAGTTAGTCACGACCCCTATACCCCGTACCATGACTTACATCTCGGGCTGGCGTCTGAAAGTCTAGGTGTCGGTTGCTCTTCAAGGCATCCACCCACGAAGGAGGAATAACCAGAACCTTGCCTAGTTCGGTATAAGCTCGGTATGGCTGATCTTTATAAACTGTGCGCGCGCTTGCAAGGAGGCTTCTGCTGTTGGCGATGAACTCTTTGACTACACGCGTGTTTGTCAACTCGAAAGGCTTCTTGGGGATTAGGATAGGGTATTTCTCTTGTTGGGTGAAGAAAGAAAAGTTGACGACTAAGAGTGTAATAACGGAAATTGCGGAAAGAACCGCATATTGCGGATTTTGGAGTATGGTATCGATATACGCCGTCATCTTGAACAACTGCCGGTGGTGTGATGATGGATTCAAATCCTTCGCGGCAGTATTGTATACTTATACCATCCACCAGGCATATAAGAAAACAAAGATCGACACAACGTGTTCCCGTTCTGTACTTGGTCTCAATCCCCATTTCACCGGAGCTCTAAGACGCGAGTCCCGACTGGGGGTAACAGCGCCTCCAGCATATCAAAAAAAGGTGGCACAAGTAGCCTAGATTATTACCTGGGTCTCTGTACGGGCTTTTCTGTCACCCCAGCTGGTGTCTCTCGATTTTCTGATACCCCGAGAGCCCGAGTCCGCAAAATACCACCACATCTACAATACATAAACGAAATAACACATCATATCGGCTCGAAAGGGCTCAACCCCGTCTATATCTCCGTTCTAATGTAACACAACGGTACAGCCATGCACGAAAGGCAGTGCATAAGCCAATAGGATAACAGGTGTATACGATTATAACCGAGATTTTCGCCAAGCATTTCCTGTTTAGATTCGTATCGATGGCCCTGCGCCATACACTTGCTCACGGACCCTCGCTACCCACAGTTTCGATGGATAGTCCGTGGAAAGTCCGCGGACGCAGAGCCGAATGAATTGAGGGGGATACAGACGAGTCATGCCATGACGAAAAGAAAGGCTGTGAAACAGGAGGACAGTGGGGAGTGAACGGTTATTGAAAACCGAGGGGAAAAGGCATCAGTAGTGAGACAAAATTCCAATAGACGATAAGCTTATACTACAAGTCCTTGCATCATTAGTACTGACCTTCACTTCGAGAAGAACTCTATCGGCACCGGCGTAAACTCTGAGCCCTCTCAAATGTATGTTAAACTTCAATAACCCAAAAGTTTATCGACGTCAGATCATCATGGGCATAACAATGTGACGGTGCCGCAGCACTGCAGCTGACCAGCGGTCTAGCCGTATTTACAGTGCCAAGGGTGATCGCCTAGCCCCCCATCAGTTTCTTCGGCAGTTCCTTCGCCCCCAGCGCTGAGCGGTCTTTGCACCGTAATGCGGCCCGTACCGCGTCGATAATCGGATTTCGGCACTGGAATGGGGTGTGAGGGCGGAATTGCTTGCGCGACGAGGAGGGTTACGCAAGTTGGCCAAGTCACTGGATGTTTTCAACAACGCATGCTGATCATACAATTTCATTTCAATTTGACGGTAGCACGGCCTCTGGTGCTCAGTTTCAAGGTAGAGTGGTGTATTGAGGGCCAATCACGTGGCAGTTGCTTTATTCCTGTGAAGTCAGCGCTCACCGCGCGTAACGCATGGATGAGTAACTCCAATGCTGCATCGCTTTTCTGAAATGATACTATTGCAGAACTATTTACATAGGCGCTGATTACTGTGAGATATGGCTTGTCGAAATGGGTTCTGGAACTCGATAGCCCAGCCACATTCGGCCAAGTGGCTTGTTCCAGACCTCCAATTGTCTCATTAAAGGCATGTATTTCGCAGACTGGTAGAGCTTTAAAGGCTGGCAACGGGCCACGTTCTACCAAATAATGCCCTTCCTTTAGAAACAGTTCTTTATATAGCCGTTGCACTATGTCTACCACCACTTCTACGAGTCCTACCGACATTGGACAAGCTCTGATCAATGCATTGAATAATCCAACAGGCAATCTGACTAGATCACTGCTACTAGCCGATGAAGATGGAAACATCACAGGCGAAAAGGGCTCTCGTTTTATTCTTCAATCTTACGGCTATCTCGGTACTTGCTATTTTCCTAGTAGAGTTCCTTCAACTAACCCCGTGCTGTCAGATCTGAGGGTCTCCCTTGTCGCCAGCCTGACCTTCCCCGTGGATGCGCCATCATTCGAGACTCTTTATCCCAAAGCGTCTTTGCAGTCATTAAACAGTTTTGATCCTCTTCTATACCAGGTATGTACATGCTGTAAAGTTTGAACGCGTCTGCTTATATACCATGAAGGCAACAGAAACCGCCATGCTGGACTTTTGGAACTCCTGCAACGACTTCACTCAATACGCAGTGTCGAGCTTCTGTAAGTTCACTATGAGCAGTCCTGGACGAAAAGCACCATGGCGGGGCTGACAGGCTTGCAGGGACTGTGTTCATCGAAACGCGAATACTTTGTCAAGCTCTCGCCGATCAGTTTACCGGTGCGGGAGAGGTCAGTCTGCAGGGCATCATAAGCATGTTGACCGGCCAGGCATACTCTCAGCCTGGCTCCGAGAACGATTTTGAGTTCAAAGGTCTTGCTCAGAGTGCCAGTGAAATGCTACTGAATCTGAGCCAGCTTGCAAACCAGAAAGCTAGCAGTATTCATGGCTTGACGGCCAGCATCGCCTCGGTGAGTAACCCCATGCGATGTGGATGAATGGGGCTGATTCAGCATAGCAAGCAAGCAAAATTCAGACCACGAGAAAAGAGGTTGATGCCGTCGTGAAGAAGTTCGGTTTAAACTCGGGAGACCGTTACATCTCTACGCTTGATGAGACACATTCCATGAATCAAATAGTTCTCAATAATAGCGTTGAAGCGGCTCAGGCTGCGAAGGCAGATTGGGTAAGTCTTTGTTACCGGATGCAGCAAGTGCTCAGCCTTTTAGTAGATCAATACGACAGTTGATGGGGAATTTGACTGACGGTGCGCTGCACAGGACCGTGAGATGATGGAAGCCAACACTGCGGCTTCTTACATTTGGATACCTGTTGCCGGCTGGATTTCTGGATCGAACGCCATCCTTACGAAGCAGAAAGATGTGAGAATGGCATGGGCTGAGTATCAAGCACACATCGGGAACAAGAGCACTGACGCCACAAAGACAGCCTATGCTCTTGTTGGTGCTGTAAACTTACTCTCCTTACAGAACCAGGCCATTTGTGACAGCGTGCGGAGTGTAGGCGTAGCATTACAAGAGATCCAGTCTACTTTCGTGGCGATAGGAAATAATCTGGGCCAGGCCTCGACGTTAATGGCTGCTGCGGATGATTCTGTTAGAACATCGCTGATTGCAAACCAGCAGGCGATCCAAGCGGGAATCACTAAGGCAGTGCAGGAGTTTCAGGATACGTTGTCTGCGGTTCAGGCACTCATTGCCATCGACTCGAGTATCCAAACTTCTGGAATCACTGCAGACATCGACGCGCCCAGCGTTTTATAAGAATAGGGTTACGCGTTATACAGTGAGAGCAGGGAACATACAGGAGACGAGGCTTGCCATGGTGGGATGTTAGGAATACTATCATGACATTGTATCGTAGACAACCCAATACAATCCTTTGTATTGGCGTCTTCTAAGCGCAGCAGTTTCCAAGATAATCAACTTCTTCCGAAAAGCCCATAGCTTCATTCCACATACCATTCACCCGTCTCCACTGCGCATCAAACCCCGTAACAAGCATCAAAGCCTCTAGCTCAGGGGTGCGACTGTGAAGTAATTCACCATTACGCATGGTAAGTATAGGCTGCGCTACAGCAACATATCCACTTTTGTTGATACGATGGTAAACGCTGTTCATCTCGATTATGATGCTTTTCATAGCCCTGCGGTGTCCCAGGACAGTATCTCTCAGTGCCCATATATCTCGAAAGAGCTTTGTGTTTCTTGGGGCGCTGTTACCATAGGAAGAGAGCCTTTCGCCTAAAGTAGCTAGTTCTTGCTTGAAGATGTCAAAGCGCTGGGAGAGGTCGGGGAATTGGCTTACGTGGTGGAGTGATGTACGGAGGGAGTCTTTTAAGCCGGATGTGACTCTCATGTTCGCGGTAGGGAAGACTGTTTGTGGCTGTTATATGTTTGAAATTACCTGTAGTAGTTTTGTGTTCTGTGTTTGGAGTCAGGAGTCAGGGAACGAAGGAAGATCCAGTCACATATTTATAGGCCTAACGAGAGCGTTGGGGTTAACTTGAAATCTTTTCAGGATGGGAGCAGCGCAGCCAAAAGCTGCTAGATTTTCGTTTTCAAGCGGCCGCGGAGCAAAACGAAGACGCACATTAACGAAGGATTGAATGAGACTGAATCTGTAGGCAGATGGGACCAAGATACAACGCCAGCTATTATTCTTTCCAGACAGCTATTGAATGATCTAGTCATATCGTAATGAGAAGAGTATCGAAAGCCCTTCATCCCGTTTTCAGCTGGTGAAGTCCATCACAGCGCTTCTTCCATTTTGCTTATCTTCATCATCCTGATTATCCATGTTGAGACTGGACTTACAGGGGGGAAATGTCAGTGGAGCTCCACTTGTCACGGCGGGGCAAACCGGGAGGAGAGAAACACTGCCTAACATCTTCACCGACCTCACGATGGACCTACAATCTTCCGCTCTCTTTCCATATCAGTCTCTCAAGACCGATGAGTTAAGATTGCTACTCGTGAAACCTGGCGACGCTGACTTAATATGCGTTGAGCTCAGAACCGTTAAATCCCGCACGTTCCAAAGATTCTGGGCCTTGTCTTACGTCTGGGGCGCAAGAGAAAACCCCGCCACTATCCTTCTGAATGATCAGCCATTCAGTATCACGAGGAATTTATACAATGCTCTGCATCAGTATCGGCGTCATGTGTTTGACGGCTACGACAGTGATGCCAAGGCGTTGCTCTGGGTAGATGCCATCTGCATCAACCAGAATGATCAGGTTGAAAAGTCAATACAAGTTCCCCGCATGTCAGAGATCTACGGCCAATGTGAGCGTGTATTGGCGTGGTTGGGCCCGGTGGAGAGTGACGAGGGAAGTCATGTTTGCAGAGTGGCACAGAGGCTGAAGCACTTCCAGACACATGCACATTCTGTCAGTGAAGACCTTTCTGAAGATGATCGAATCATAGCGTTCACGAGCTCTGGGCGTTCTGACGAGACAGCCGCAACTGAGGTTGAGTCTGTCCGGAAAGCTTTAAGGTCTATCGGTCATCGCCCATGGTTCCGACGTATTTGGATTCTTCAAGAAGCTGTCCTAGCAAAGAAACAGCCGATCTTGCTTTGTGGACCTCACGAGTTGGGATACGAGATCTTCTTCAAGACCTGGGTCTTGATGTTGAATCCATCTGAGGATGGACAGCTACTTTACTCATTCATGGCGGAGAACCCGATTAGGTTCAAAGCTATCGAGATGGTATATAAGAATATTCTACAGGCCAGAAAGGAAAAGATTCCAAAAGAAGCAAAAGGACCTGTGGATCAGGAAAAGCAGTGCGCTCTCGACATAGTAAAACTCTTGAATGAGACCACCGAGTTGGAGGCTACGGTGGCTCATGATCGTTTATATGCCCTTATCGGGCTCTTGGCCTGCGACCCACTTCCCAAGGCCCTTCAGCCAGACTACACACAATCTTTTGAAGAGCTCTGTTACAAGTTCACCATATTTATCCTTGAGCAGACTCAAGATATCCGCGCTTTGAACTTGGGAACTGTCGGCAACCTCTCGACCGTGCCCTCGTGGACACCTGATCTCCGAAATAGCTGGACAGCAAGGTCCAATCTGACCCCCAGTCCTGGGAAGTGCTTCAATATTTCGGAGGATGGCAAGACTCTTACCATGCCGGCGATTATACTTGGGCAATGTGTGTCTGTTTGCAAACCCGTCACGCCTGATCCCGATACTCGCATTGTCTCGCCATTGTCACTCTTGCAATTTGATGAGGCTGTAGTCAAAGTAGCGGCAGCTATAAGAAGAGTTACACGTATGGAAGTAATGACCGAGTGGTTCAAATACCATCTTGCAGACATATACACTGAAGAGCGGTTAACTCAAAATCCCATCATCGTGCAGAGAGTCATGATGGCGTATGTATGCATGGTTCACAATCAGCCCCTCTCCTCACTTGGCACGAGATTTGGAACAGAAGAACAGTTGCAAGGTGCTTATGGAATGGTAACGGACCCCATTTTTCAGCAGAGCATGGTTGGATGCAGCAACTTTGTGCTACAAGATGGAACGGCAGGACAGTTACTTCATAGTGATGCTGTGGCAGCTGTTGGGGATGCGATCTGTGTTTTCCCTGGTCTTTCGACTCTTTTCCTTCTACGAAGAAATGATGATGGAAAGTGTCGGATTATTGGCCAGGTTTCTAAGTGGGAGAGTATTGGGGCAAGTTTACCTGCGGATCAGCTTGAGAGTTACCGTCACTCATTTGAAGGGGCTCACTTGGGAGAAGAAACTGAGCATGGGGTAAGACTGCTAAGTCTTGTCTAAAAGTATAGCGAGTAAGATCATCGATGGTAACGCACCATAGACGAGCCCTTGTCAGAGTGTTGACAGCCAGACTCGCGTCGGTCATCTTGATGACGATGAATTAAGACACGTGGAAGCAACAATAAAAGGCACACAGCTCTCTATGCAGGGCAAGAGCGGAAATATGGGATAAAATAGGTTTGGCGACGGGGAAAGCTCTGAAGTTGAGGATTTCTCGGGGTTGGGGTACTACTATAGCCGCCCACCCTTGCTTCTCGCAATACTTCCCCATATAAGTTTCCAAAGACTGCATGTGACATTGGTTGATTTAGTCACCTATTAGTTCGGATTCGAGAGTATCCGAAATATTGCAGGAGCTGAGCTGCTGTGTCACCTTAATATTCGAATCCCTATTGGACGTTGGTTGGTTGTGCCGTGCAATCGCAGCCTGATCTTCATGTCAGACAACTGGGAAGTGATATGAGCATCCATTCTGTCTTTTGTGTTGTTACGTGTTCTTCCTGTGACCATCTCATCAATTTCTCTTACATATTGAACATACATCATTGATAACGGGCTCTCTCAACTGTAGACTTCGCTATTCCAAAAATGCGATGCATGACAATAAGGCACGGAATGTAGGTATGATGAATTTGCATGGTGTTCCGCGCATTAGCCGAGCCTGATTTTGAAAAATAAGGCTCCGTGTCTCACCTGCATAACACCATTGAATCTACCTATTTATAGATGTACAAAGACCCCAGCAGAAACGCAAGAAGACTGTGCCAAGCAGCTAACTGCGCTGATATGAGCTTGAGAAGAAGGTTCAAGAGAACTCAAATCGGCTATGATGAGATTGCTGAAGCGAGACTAATTTTCTTTTAGGTGACTTGCTTGAGATAAGCAAAATTGCGCTAGAATCTTATTGTCAATTCGATCTGGACATAGATTTCCTGATGAAGACATATATCTGTATATTAGATCCACGACGTATCCGTCAGCTCTGGGGTAAATTACTTAAATCTATGCTGAACCATGCACCTACGTAGCTGATTGCTGGCTGTAAGGTTAAACATTAGGCTGCTGTCACACATCACGAGGACGCGGTATCCATTTTCACCAATATACGTTTCCACCCAAAAAGCTTCCACGATGAGCAATAAATCCTATAGCCAGTCCTAGGGCTTCAGGTAACCTATAACGTCCGTCATATACCAAATTTGGGTACATTTATGCAACTTCTTGAGCTCTTCAGTTTACCAATCAAATCGAATAAAACCAAGCATAACTCACTTCATTACCCACTTTCAGCTAGCTCAAGGATGGCTTAGCTTCTCCAATCCCTACTCCTTGTAAACCAAGATGCCCGCTGGAGCCCTAATCCGCCGCCGGGCGACATGTCTTGGCATGACACTAGCTCCAGACGGCGTTAGGTTATCATGAGTTCTGTTTAAAGCGGCTTAAAAATCCTCAACCTCGCTCTTCATCCGCCCTTCCCCAGCTTCTCCATCTATTCCCAATCACCCTCATACCCCAAGATGTCTCAGCCTCATCCTCTTATTCCTCTCTCCGTCGACGAGACGAACTTGGCCAGAGATGTCGTTCGCGCTGCTTATCCTCAGAATGTCCTGAAGTTCCGGGTCATTTACCTTGAGGAGCCAATGAAGGAGGTCCTGGCGCCTTACTTAGATCTTGAACATGCTGGAAAGGTTACCAGCTCTACGCTCAGACCCGCTCGTGAAGCACGAGTCCACTTTGACACAGCTCATGGTGGCAAGCCTCCGCAATCGCATGAGGCTATCATCGACCTGAACACAAGAAAGATCAAGCAGGTTGAGTCAATCCGAGCGGATGCCCAAGCAGCGTTCACAAGGTATGCCAGACCCTTACACGGCATTGCAAGCCATATCACAGACTAATGGATTCGTATAGCGAAGAACTTGATGACGTCCGAATCATTTGTCGAGACTCCCCTGTCTTCAAGGAGCGCATCGCCAAGTTCAACCTCCCCCAGGACTTTGAAGTCGTCGTTGAGCCTTGGCCATATGGCGGCCTTGACGCAGCTGACGACCCCAATCGTCGACACATGCAGGCCCTGATCTACGCCTCCGACAGCAAGAACCGCGAATGCAACTTCTGGGGATACCCTCTCCCCATCATCCCCGTCATCGACGCCGAGACACGCGAAGTCATCCGCATTCACGAGGTTGCTACCGGTGGAGGTGATGATCCTCATACCTTCGCCGAGGGTGACTACGCTAAAGTCAACATCGATCACATGACGCCATCGGAATACGTCCCTGAGCTTTTGCCTGGTGGTCTGCGCAGAGACCTAAAGGAACTCAATGTCGTGCAGCCATCTGGGCCTAGCTTCAAAGTTGAGGATTCCAATGTGATCAATTGGCAGAAGTGGAGCATGCGAGCGACTTTCAACCCTCGCGAGGGTGCGGTGCTACATGATGTTCGTTTCGACGGCCGAAGTGTTCTGTACAGACTGTCTATCAGCGATATGACGGTTCCTTATGCGGACCCGCGACCTCCGTTCCACCGAAAGCAGGCTTTCGACTTTGGTGACGGAACGCTTGGAGACGCTTGCAATAATCTGCAGCTTGGATGTGACTGTCTGGGTGTCATCAAGGTGAGTGACACGGATGCTCTCGGATGCTGTTGGAGAGTTCATATGTGCTGACAAGGTTTTAGTACTTTGATGGTGTTCTTGTTGATCATAGCGGTACAGCACGCACTACTAAGAATGTGATCTGCCTCCACGAGCAAGATAATGGTATTAACTGGAAGCATACAAACTGGCGTACTGGCCGAGCTGTCGTAACCCGCAGACGAGAGCTTGTTGTTCAGTTCATCATCACCCTAGCCAACTACGAATACATCTTCAACGTAGGTCTCCCCCCTTTAGCAAATGACCTATCTAACGCAACAAAAGTATATCTTCGACCAAGCAGGTGCCATCACCGTCCAAGCCCGCGCCACCGGAATCGTCTCCTCCGTCCTCATAGAAGAGGGCAAGACCGCTCCATGGGGCAACGTCGTAAGCCCCGGCATCCTCGCCCAAAACCACCAACACATCTTCTGCGTGCGCATCGACCCCGCCATAGACGGCCACAAAAACACCCTCGTCCAGACAGAATCGCTCCCCATGCGCATCGACGCCCGCACCAACCCCAACGGCAACGCCTACCAGGTCGTCACAACCCCCATAACAGCCTCAGCAGGTCTTGACGCGAACCCCTTCACAGATCGAACCTTCAAGGTGCAGAATATGGATAAGCTTAATCCGATTAGTGGTCAGCCTGTTGGATATAAGATTCTTGCGCCGGTGACGAGGCCGTTGCTTGCGGATCCTAATTCTACGCAGGCGAAACGGGCGAGGTTTGCGCAGAGACACCTGTGGGTTACTAAGCATCGTGCTAATGAATTCTATGCTGGTGGGCGATATACGCTGCAATCGGTCTCGGAGGTTGAGGGCGTTGCGGATGCTGCTGATAGGAACGATGATGTTTTCCAGCAGGATATTGTGCTATGGAGTGTGTTTGGTCTTACTCATAATCCCAGAGTAGAGGACTGGCCAGTCATGTAAGTCTCAGACGCCATGGCATTGAAAATCTGTCTTGCTGACCAATACCAGGCCCGTCGAGATTCTTGATCTTCATATCAAGCCTGCGGATTTCTTCACGGCAAACCCAGCAATTGATGTGCCCGGCAGGAAGAACTTCACTTCGCAGCTGACAAATGCTGAAAAGACCCAAGAGTCTTCATGCTGCGCGGACAGCAAACCTCGTCTGTAGAATGGTTTGCATGGAGAGAGGGATGTGTACTTATATGTGACTGGTGTCATTTATTGCAGGCCATTGAGCATGAATTGAGAGTGCTGGTAGACTATTACTTGAGGAATTCACAATTTTTATATTATAACATAAGTCTGAAAGAGGTAAATTCAAATTAAACTACTCAATCTGTGGTGAAAATCTCTAATTGTGGTTGGTTAGTGACCACTTTCTCTCAAGCATAACGCAACATAATCCCTGAGAAACTTCCCGCTGTAGGAGACAATGATATTACATCTCCGACTCTCCGGTCGTAGAGCAGTAATACCTAGACTCGAAACGAAATTAGGTGACTGCATTTCTAAGTCATCTGAATTTCCTCTATCAAAATAACTTCCTAATATTTACCGTGGCGAAGATAATGAAGCTGTCGTCTAGGCTGGCCTCGATCGCTTCGCTCAGAAAACGGCCGACGGCCGACAGGCACGACCTTTCTCTTTTTGGTTTGGGTCGGCGGCGAATGCGGGGGACTAAACTCGATGTAGCATTCCCAAGCGATAGACACTGGTCTATTCCCCACGGGGTATGACTTAACATCTGCATCTTCAACCGTTGGATACTGGGGTTGTTCGTTGTTATCATGATACAGTTCCAGTGCATCGGGGAAATCCGGCAATATATCGTAAGTCTCGGTAAAGTGGCTAATCATGAGTCGCTGCCCTCATTTTCGTTCCATGACGACAGACGACAGATGCATTCCCTGTTGCCTCTTCACGTTGATGACCTCCCAAGCGTTACACCTGTGGGAATTTTGGAGGCCGTTACAGCGTCTAATCGAGACGAGCCGATGCATGGCCATATTATTGCGGGAGCACTCGTATCATGAAATACGTCACTTGTACTGTGAACCTCTTAACGACGATCAAAGCCTAGTTTGGAAGAAATAGCATTTCGAAGCGCTTCCAAAGTAGAAATGGCAAATCCGTCTGTCTTGAATAAACTACTACAATATAATTACAGCTTAGTTCATATGTCTTCTAGACCTCTGCATCTATCTTGTTGACCTTCGAGTGATTGTCATCTCCAATCTTAGTTCCGCTGGCTTCTTCGACTCCACTGACAAACAGCGCGTCTTCGTCAAACGTAGGCCCCTTGAAGTTATGCCTTCCATCAACAAACCATTGAATCGAAGAAACAATTATGATGGCGGCAAATGCAACTACAGCGTAGTTCATGTTGGAGGCTGTGACATCGCTAACGGGAGGGAAGAGGAGGAAGACGGTTATGACGATCGTGTAGGCGATACCGACCTGGATCAAGGGTTAGCAAAAGTCACAAGCATGGATTCTTTGCTTTGGGTGTACTTACAAGATTGCAGATCCAGCCGAGCCACTCTGGCAGCACAAAAGGTCGGTTGTCCAATAGTCCCTTTCGTCCCTGGAGACAGTTGATGGCAGGAGTGACGGCATATGAGATGGAGAGAGCGATGACAGCAGCTGAAAGAATGGCGTTCAGTGCACTTGTTGATCCAAGGTAGACGAGTCCAAAAATGATGACGATCGCGTTGGTAAGCAAAAGCGCGTTGACTGGAATGCCCCATCGCTGGTCAACCTTGGCAAACACTCGGGAGAAGGGCAGACCTCCATCACGAGCAAAGGCATACAGAATACGAGTGCTTGTGGCCATGATACCAAGGGTACCAAACACGAGGCAGATCATGGGGAAAAGCAGCAGGCAAACAGTGCCAGCCTTGCTGTTCGTAGCTTGTAGGTAGATCTCAACGAGAGGACCAGTTGGGGAGGCGACGACCGCATCCACATCTTTGATGACGAATAAAAGACAGACAAGGAAGGCAAAGCCAGTGACGAGACCCATGGCAACACAAGCGACCATGATGCGAGGTCCACGAATGCAGGGCTGGGGAATCTCTTCGATCATGTGCGCAACGGCATCGAAGCCTGTGAGTCCAAGACCACCCTGCAGCAAGCCCAAGAGGAACGCGACACCACCAGGCCAACCAGTGGAGTTGATGAATTCTCCGAAGACAAAACTAGCGGGCTGGAAGTCAGGGGCGCTAGTAGCCAAGACGGTGATTGTAGTAGCGAGGAGACCGCAGACAGACCAGATCAGCGCGATCTTTGTCATCATCGGCAATCCCGAAGCGAGGAATAGGTTGAGGAAGAACCCCAGGAATGTGTATAAGAGGAACAGCAAGAAGTACTGCCATCGTGTCGGTGCGAAGTCGGGGTCGTACATGGTGATGATGCCTAGAAACAATTGCCCGCCCAAAACACCACCAGAAGCAGACAGAGCGACCCATCCACTAACATTAACCCAGCCGGTAACCCAAGAGACAATGGCGACCCATTTCGGAGGTGAAATGATAGCCGCCCAGTGATACTGCCCAGCGCTGGTAGGATAACAAGAAAGAAACTCGGCGTTAGAAACAGCTAGTGACAAACTGCCCACTCCAGCTGTGACCAATCCCCAAATAACAGCTGTAGGTCCACCGCTAGGCAAACCAACAGATAAACTTGACGCAAGTGCAGTCCAGGAATTGAGGATGGAAAAGGCAAGGCCAAGCATAGAGACAAAGGAGAAATTTCTCTCCAGCTCCTGCTTGTGGCCTAGCGCTGCAAGTTGAGCAGCATCGCGTGCTAGATCAGCGTCGTGATTCTTCATATTATCGAAAGTACACTGGAAAGAAGAATAAAGGGCGATGAGTTCCACATGGAGAAAGGGGTGAAGGTGGATTTTGAGGTGTTGATAATAGACCTACTGACGGCGGATGGAAATATGCGATTGGTTAGTTGAGGTTGTCTGATTGGTTGGTGGTAATCGGCCGTCGGGGGACGATAAGGGTGATAGTAGTTGTGGGGAGAATGGTCCACTGGGTTATCGGAGATTGCGGGGGAGCTACAGGGTTCAGGTGGGAAGTAATAAATTACTAAAGTATAAACTTTATATAATAAAAAACAGTACATAACTTTAACCCTTCTAATCTTTAAAAATCCCTTATAGTATTTAATTATAAATATAATTAGCTTATAATTATAAGAATATTTTATATATTACTATTAATAGTACTTTAATACTATAAGGTAAGTAGCTTTAATAACTATATAGCCTAGTTATTATAAAGGTAAATTATAAATAATAAGTTTATTAGTTACTTTGTAATGCAGAGGATAATGCTAGGATCTTATAAATTATCGCGCAGAGCTTATCTCAACCCTATTGGATTGCCCTGGATTCCGCGCAATATCCTCAAGTGGTATATTCTTAAGCCTTTCCAGCAGATGAAATCTCTTACTATCTTCATTGCTTGGAACTGACAAAGAGCGGCTGTCCGAAGAGGTTACCGAGACAGCATCGGAGTGTGGGGTCTCAACCTGAAGCACAGGTGAAGGAGGCAAGTTCCGACCGTCTGCTTCGTGCTGCTCAGACACCGTTTCAACAGGTTTAGTCTTTGGAACAACTTGCACATCTGGTAGATACCAAGACAGCCAAGCAGATACAAGCATCAAAGGCATTAGAGCAAGGAGCCGTATCCCAAGACTTTTTTCCTTGTCCCCGTGCCTTGTTGTAAAGATGATAACGCGGATAATAACAGCACCGACCTTGCCTGAAGCTGCGGCTATGCCGTTGAATGTTCCTCGATAAGTAGTTGGGAAGATCTCCGCGGCTAGCACAAAGATGAGGGTGTTGGGACCCAGATTGAAGAAGAATTGAAGGATGCCATAACAGACGACAGCGGCGTGGTGAGGATCGCTAGCTTCACTACCAAGGAGCGTCCCTCCAGCGATAGCAAGAAGGACTGTGATGGCCAGGAATGTCGCAATCAGAATCACCTTTCTTCGGAAGAAGTCAATAATAAGGATTGACCCGATGCTACCAACCAGTGAGCCAATAGAAACAACAACAATGGATCTGATGGCGTTTTGCTCGATCATATTTGAAATGGTGTTGTTTGGATTCCAATAGTCTTTGTTCCATGGGTCATCTCCGCATCCTTCAACACCATCACCGGAAGCCCGTCGAAAGTGTCGCATCACTCCAGTGGGGGAACTTGGATCATGAACCAACGTGGCCAACGTATTGCTCAAGTCCATCGTCAAGCCGTACCAGGGAACATCCATGATAGCCCAGAGAAGGGATATGAGAACCAAGGGTCTCCATCCTTTCTTTGGCCCAGTTAAGTAATCCCACGCCTTTCCGTACCAAGCGTACCACGGCTCTTCTTCATCCTTTGATCCGCCTGTCGAAAGATCGGTCTCTCTACCAACCTCTTGAATGCTTTTATTCCGTCCATACAGTTTCATCGCATTTGAAACACCTTTACGTGGATCCTTCATGATTCCAGCATAGAATCTTGGGGTTTCGGGTATGGTTAAACGGAGCAATATAGCGATAGCTGCAGGAATAAGAGCAACTCCAACTGTCCATCGCCATACTCTGTCTATCGCTAGTCTTCTTGTTTCTTCATCATCACCCGGATTTGACCCGCGCAAGGCGCCCAAACTGACTGTGTAAGATAGGAGACGTCCTACTGATTGCATGGAGAAGACTGCCGAGAGCATGACTCCCCTGGATTCGGTCGATGCCCACTCCGCAGTAATGATACTGGATAGAGGATACTATAAATGTTGATTAGCTCGAGCTCCTTTCTACAAGATAAAAACAAGATTTACTTCTGCCCCTATACCAAATCCGAGTAAGAACCTCCACCAGGCTATCCAGGAATAGATATTCATTGAACTTCTTGTAATTTTGACGGCTGTATAGCCTTCAGAAGCCTGCGCCATGCCGATGGTAGCGACAATCAGAATCGTCAACTCGGCTCCATACCACTTCTTTCTTCCCGATCGATCAGCAAGATGTCCCATCAAGAGCATCCCCAAGATCGTGCCTGTCAGGGTGAGTTCATCGATGATGAGGCCAGGGTCTTGCCCGAGCCTGTTACAAGGCGGATAAACATAAAACAGGGCAATGGACAAGATGTCAACAGAAAAGAGAGAATAAGAGGACGCAAGGAAGCCTGAAGCAGCGACGAAAAAGACTCTGATCTTGAAGCCGCCATCGTCGACGATCTTTGTGATTTGCTTTTCGCGTTCACGCGTGCTCTGAAGGGGGATTAGCAGCCGTTGGCTTAGATAGTGGACACTTACATAGTCGATCTCGACTAAATGTTTCACTTCCTCGTTGTAGTCAATCCAGAAGCGACATCGTCTTCTAGACTTCTTTGCAGAATTAGACTCGATGTGCGTAGGATGGGGATCCATGGTGAAGTCGATGCATAATAGAGATAATGAGCGAAAATTGGAAGGGCAAGGGGTTCGTGATTTAATTAACGGATCAATTGGTACTTAGGCTGACAGGGTCCGCCGTCTGTTGTATTCTCAGCCGCAGTCATTCCACTTAGTCGTAGAGCGCCTTGCTTACATATTTATCCCTCGAATCACAGAGCCCCACACAACCCCGTGGGTAAGACATTGGACCATCGCCATAGATATTATAAGAACCCCAACAAAGTGGCTGCATTGGCGCCGCATTGCTTGCCACTTCTAGGCAGATTATATCGGAGGTGATAATGTGACCAAGAAACGGATTCCTCACCCCGGATCCTGCGACAAGACGATCGCTACCCTGATTTTCCCACGGACCCTCAGGGACTTTAACTTCGACAAATCTATCACACAGACCCACGCTTACTGCAACTACTTACAACATGTTCCTGCAAACATGGATCCTGGGACTATCTTAGCGGTTGTCTCACTGGTACTGCAGGTTATTAAACTAGCAGACCAGGTTATCGAGAGCTTCGAGCGACTCAAAAACGCTCCACAGGAGCTTAGAGACTTTCGACAATCTGCCGTGCGGCTGCAGCGTCATCTTGAGGCTCTCCAAAATGATGTTTCATATTATTCCTTGGCAAACATCTTGCATGAGGATGATGTTCACGAGATCGAGGAGACATTGACGTTATGTAAAGAGCTTCTTCAGCAACAGGTTACTTCATCGAAAGGCCTGGTTGTCACCACTGTTATCAGAGGTGTTTGGACATTTAGGAATAATCAGAAGCTTGTCAAGTACAAGACTCGTATTGATGCGCACTATACCCAGATTCTGGTGCCCTGCTGGTTAAGTTCTTTAAGGCAAGCCTTCTTTTCTAGTTCACCACAAATATGTTACTTATGAGGCTGTTTTTAGTGGCAGGAATAATCCCAACCGTTCTCTAATATTGTGCGAGGAAGAGGATACGACCGTCATCACAGAAACAGGCAATAATACCCTGATAGACTCAGCCCAGAATGTGTCGCCATCGCAATACCAAGTCGCACCAGAGCATATACAACAGATAACCAAAAAGCTTGACAAGCTCAAAACTGCTGACGATAAGGAAGCTACCGAGCAGACACTTCGAAGCATCGACTACGAGTTGAGAACATGTTGGACAGAGCTGGGCCTAGTGGAGGAGGACGTCGACGATCCCATCGACTACCCAATGCCAAGCATTAAACGTATGGCTGACTTTCCCTTCAGCTTGAGTGCGGGGTATAATTAACTAACGGGTGTACGCACTACAGGTCGATCAACACTCAGTTATGAAGACGCACCGACTACATTGTACGTGGTCGTAGCGGTATAGTCCCTCTCGCACTGACCTTTACTAGGGAGTTGGAGAGTGCACCGCAACAGCATAGACGACTGCGCCTCAGACGACTTCATATCATGGCTCGAGATGATGAGTCTCGCATCTTGCAATATCAGAATGACGATTGTACTATACACGTCACACACGTCGGTACCGTTGTCCATGTCCCACCAGAGAAGACTCTTGACTGACCCGCTTAGTACCTTATGGTTCTATACCTTGGACTCGTAACAAGTCCTCCAAGAGAGTTTCTTTTCTCAAAAAACATCTCGTCACCGTTGTCGACAGCGAAGGCTACCATATATATCGTCTCGATCCAAAATACAAGTTCGAAGACCGTGAAGCTTGCGATAGGTTCCAGTCCACACTTCGCGAGAGAGAAGTCTGCGGCGCTTTTGAGGCTGTCGAGATAAAAGTCGATGGTCGAATCGCTGCTCGAAGGCAAATGCTACGGTTCTGGCGTAGGGTTGAGCGCAATGGCACGACGACCAACACCATCACTTACTACATATCATCAGGGACCTCGGCTGGAGAACATGATGAGATTAACCTAGCCGAACTCCAGAGTTCTGTCACAGTCCCACGTATTCGACGTCTATCCTGGGACATTGGAAGGAGAGTCGAGTCTAACTCAGTTGATCTCATGCCTTCTCTACGAGGTTCGAGGCAGTTTCATATAAAGTTCGAAACCGATGAAGGTTAGTGTTTCATCTCATCTTCTAAATAGCTAGACCTAACTGTAGGTTAGAAGCAAAGCAGTTTAAAGAGAGGTTCTCGGTTATGCAAAATGGGGGCTTCTCACAACCTCCGTCGCTGATTGGCGATTGTTCTACTAGAGCAGAGTCGACTCTAGCAGGCACGCCTGTAATGGGACCAAAACCAGATCTAACCGCAGTGCCAATTATTGCTTTCGATACAGGTGCTCAAGAGGGACTTTTCGAGGAATGGAACACGGCTGTTTTCCAGGCTGGAAATCATAAATCTTAACATAAACATCGAGGAGTTATTGGGTTCGGAGTTGGATTGCTAGTGGGTTGATCCGAGCTTAAGTGCAGCTTTGCACGGATGATTGACTTTGAAGTATATACAAGGGTCAAGTCAGAACATGATAGAAGCCCCGAAGTTTACAGGCGGCTAATTTGGTCAAGGGATGAATACTGAACAACGTAGAGTGTCCCAGCATTAAGCAAAGCCACGTTTCCACCACTGCGACGTATTAACAGCTGCATTATAGCTAAGACTCTCTCTCGTTTATCTTGATATTCATAATGAACTATATCATGAAAGCCCCTGAGTATGACGAAACAAACCTGGGCTTGCGTGTTCAAGACTGTATTAAATGGCCTATTACTTCTAAAGGGACCATTTGTCCAATATCTCCAGCTTGTATAGAGGGATATGAACTAATCGGTGTCGACTATGATAGGAATACTAGAACCTAGACATAGCCTACTACTTAGTGGGCTGATATTGGGATAGGAACGTCCGTAGTTATTGCTTGTACGCCGTCTTCGAATATAATCCCCATGGCCTGTAGGGTATAGAACTTTTTACTAGTAAAGGTCTCGTTGGCGGCAAAGGAATATAAGAGAGCTATTCAGTGATGCATAAGACCGGATATTAAAAAAGTAAGAAAAAGGCGTGTGTATTGGGAGAGGAGAGTGTTACGACGAAGGCAAAAGATTTTATCTGGGACAAAATCCCCCAAACCTGTGAATGTCTTGCGGCATAGCTGATGCCAGAACTTTCCATCAAACGTTTTAGCAGGTGACCTCAATGTTAACACAGTGGGTAGATCACTTACCCCCAGAAACCAAGAACAGTGTAACAGGCGCTTATTGGCCCGTTGAGATGCGACCAGTCTTCTGAATGGCTTAAGCCAATAAGGAGAGCTGTGACGGCTGCGCAAGCATGATTGAGTCGGTTGCAGATGAATGTTATGAACCAGTAGCCAAGTGTGCTGAAGAATCGAAACAGCACATCCCCTAAAGATAGATTTGATAACCTTAAACGCGTTTGTTTTTCTCTTGTAATCAAATGGTTCTTGGGAGGAGGTCCGCTCATCGCCGCATCCATGATCAGATACAAAATGATAATCTCGACAACCTTGGCATTTACGAGGCGGGCTCGTGTTGTTGCGCGTCGGCGCATGTTTGAGATCTCCCCTCGTACGCCAACACGCCGTAGGTTGAAATACATACCTGCAGCCCGAAAAAGAAGGGCAAAGTGCCGACGTGATTAACCTATCCCTTTCCGTCTTGGTGAATAAATCGAAGGTATGAATTCGCGAAATGAGGATCTGCTCTGTGATGGTGTAGGGTATCTTACAGTCATTCGATCTAGAGATATTGATTCCTATTTAGATATCACCTTCTAGACATTACAAATAATGATTTTAATTACTAGACTAAACTTCCGTTCCAGGATATTGCCCCATCCTCTATTCTAAAATAGCTCATGGCTGATGGTCGCGGTCCGCTTAGCTCCAAGAGATTCACAGAACTGGCTCCGTTCAACTTGACGCATTTCTGGCGTGCTTAGAAGAATGTCCCCAAAGGGAGCCACTTCGCTGGCCTGAAATTATTGATCGCTGTGAAATGTATTATCCCCCAAATACTTATTAAGCATGATGCATCGAATTGCCTATCCCAGTATAGTATATCCTTCTCTTTACGACTCTTCCCATCGTATATCCTTCTTCACCGCAATCGTCCCCAACGGAATTTCATCCACCGCCACCCCTTTCGAGTGTTCCACCACCGTATTATGCTGATTATGATACGTCTCAGGCCACAAAACAGGCTCCTCAGCTGAATCATTATCATGCAGTCTGCGAAATGGTCCATCCTTGACAGGACCTTTCTGTCTGTCTGCTGACTTTTGGCCACTGCCCCCAATGGTGATGATTCCTTCCTTACTGCGATCTTGTGTAGTCTTGGTGATGAAACGGCCGAAGAGAACGTATAAAAGCGGCTGCATCGTGGGGAGACAGGCGCAGAGGAGTCCGACCGATGGTTCGATCACTGTCCAGATCCAGGGTGTCGAGATGAGTTCTGTGCATGTCAGTCAGTATGGCACCGATCGATAGCGAAAGAGATGAGCTACTTACTCGTGAAGTCTGCTTCTTGCCCGGCTTGGAGGAGGGCAACAATGTACTTCAACCGAATGCAACTGATGATCACGATCCTGTACCAGATGAGCACGTGCCCGTCTCAAATTCAACTAGAAACTTACAAGCCACCGAGCAGAAATATTCCCGCGATAGCAATCTTCTGCGACCTCGGTACCTGGACCTTTGACACCTCAAAAACAGGCAACGCGATAATCATAGCGTCCATCACAATATTCGGGATCGAGTTTCCAATGAAGAAGCGATTCTTATCCAGGCAGGTACCTTCTTTCATAAATGGCTTCCAGGCTTTGTCGACGGGCGAGCATTGGAAGATGCTTGCGAAAATGATGCCTATCCACCACGAAAAGGTCATTCCACCGAGGATGTATCCGCCAATTCGCATGGATTTCGTTGGGAAGATTCGGTAGTACATTAGGAGGATGCCGACCTTTATGGTGCAGAGAACTGTGCCGTAGACGAATTCGGTTAAAACTAGACACTATTTACGAGGAAGGCGGTTAGATAACTCGTATTGCGACGGTGAGGATAGTTACATGCCAATTGAGCACGTCCAAGTCGATTCGGGTCTTGCATCATGTTGACCGCCAATGGTTTGCCAACGCCGCCATAGGTTACAGCTAGAATGTTGCAACATTAGTTTCGTCACGGCATGCAAATCAATTGTGCAAGGGAACGTACATGCGATTGCAACTCCAGCAGTAGCCCAGAGCAATGGCTAGAAGTCTTGTCAGCGTTGGGAGGCAGAAAGGGATTCAGAAACCGCAAATCTTACCAGTGATAAGAGTATCATGAAATCGTCACGTTCGAGGGCCATCCGCTTTCGATGGCGAGCCCATACTCTAATGGCTACAACACCAAGAGCAAAAGGTATCGACACGGCGCTTACTATGATCAGCGAAGGCCCTTCATTATGGTTCAAGACCTCAGGCGGAAGAGATGGAGTGGAATTATTGCCAGACATATTGCCGACAGTAATAATGAAGCTATAGCAAAGAGACTAAATCACCAAAACCGTTAGGAACGGACACGGGGAGCGAAACGTGAAATATGGTTTGGACTTGGCATTAAATTGTGACCGAAATGGGAGTAGACTTAGGGAAAGCATTGAAACAGCCGATTCCTGACTCGTTCATTCCTCAGTGCAACATAACGCGGCAGACGCGGGTCCACGGCATTCACAGGAACCATGCCCACCACGAATACAAGCCTATAAGGCGTAATCAGGGGTCTCGTACCAAACCCGCGGTGTTAGTGTGCGGAAGAACAGGGGTGGAAACTCTAAATCGAATGTTGGCCCATTGAAGGATTTTCAGCCGCGGGACCTCACCTCACTTCCCCTGACCGATCAGTCAAGCTTTCCTTCCTATGAGGATAGGTACGGGGATGCATTACGAGGGATCCACGTGGACTGCTTTATCAGCTGTTTTCTGCAGTGCGACGATAGCGTGCATCATGATATTGTGGCTAATTATAAGACCGGCGGTTGGTCCCGTTCATGAATAATGTGAAACATGCAGCTACATAAACTTTGAAAGATCAATAGACCAGCGAAGAGTATCGATCATGAGCGAGAAACCAGTTCTACTTTTTGTTCATGGAGCATGGCATCCCCCGAAATGCTACGACGCCATCAAAACCGCCCTCACCAACCTCGGCTACGAATGCGTCATCCCCAAGCTTCCCTCTGTAGGCTCTGAAAGTCACGGCGTTACGTGGGAAGCGGACAAAGCCAAGATCATCGAGACAGCAGAGCCATTCTTCAACCAAGGTCGACAAGTCGTTCTCATCGCTCATTCTTACGGCGGCATCCCCGCGACTGCCGCGACGCAAGATCAGGGAACGGAAGAGCGTGCGAAACGCGGCTTGAATGGTGGATTCCACTCGATTATTTTCTTAGCTGCGTTTGCTATCCCGGTCAAGGGCTGGGATCTCATCACGACTTTTGGTGGGGCTTATCCTCCATGGTTGCTGGCTGGCGAGAAATATACAAAGGTGAGAAAGATCAATGCGTTTGCGTGATGTCGCTAATGCTTTGCAGAATCAAATTACTAGGATGGCGGAGGGAGCGAGGGAAAGTGTGTACAGTGGTTGTACCGAAGAAGCGATAGATAAGGCTTTGGAGTCTACGGAACCGCATTCTCAGGATGCGTTTGAGACGAGTCTGGATTTCATCGCATCGGATATCACTATTCCGAAGACATATATCATTTGCGAAAATGATCAGCTTATCCTGTTGCCTCTTCAAGAAAAGCTTGTTGAGTCAACGCCTGGGATGAGATCTGCAAGGCTGGCGGCGGGTCATAGTCCGTTCGTGGAGAAGACGGAGGAAACAGCAGAACTAATTGTGAACATCATCGAGGAAGAAGTTTAGATAGATTAGACTAGCATGAGTCATGAAATAGAAACGAGACTATCGGTCCTACTTGATAGGATTGAGCTCGTCCTTGCAGGGCTGTAGTGCCTGACATATCGGCCAACATCCGTGCGGCTCCGCAGATTTAGCCCGCGATCCATCCATCGGTCCCGCAGATAGGTTCCGCAGCCATGATTCATGAACCCTGAACCCAATTAGGAGAAACAATGGTCTTTAATTTTCCTGGCACTTGCATTGTCTAATTATTCCCCGTCGCAGCGCCCCAGATCCAAGCTGCCCAGCTTCCCAACACATACACGAACAGCGCAGCGAAACAAACCTTGCTAATCATCCTAGCCTTCTTGCCAGTGGGTCCCTGGCTCTTTGCCTTGCGGTCATTGATCATATCTCCGCGCAGGATCCGCTGCTTTCGTGAGAATTGCAGGATTTGTAGGTCAGGAGCCCAGAAGGTGCCGATCAGCATTGCTAAAGATACAACGGTAGAGGCGGTAGCGAGGAAGACATAGACAATGGTAACTCGATCGTAAGAACCATCGTCGGCATCTTGGATGACGCCGGTGATGATGCGGATGATGATATTAGTCCTGAATCTGTCGTCAGCCATCAAAAGATTTGCGGAGAACTGGTATTGACTCACGCGTTATTCATCGTCACCTTGGCAGCATAAGCAGTACCAAAAACATCTTGATGCCACATACTCGTTCGGATCCCCTCAATAATAGTCACAGGGCCGAAAGTCTTGAAGATGGCGTAGAAGGCATATGAAGCCGCTGCGCTGCTGGTCGTAGTGCCCCAATTGATAAGTCCCATCGATAATAGCATGCCAGTGCCACAAACAGCCATTTGCGTTACACGGTGGCCGTAAGTGTCGATGACAGCTCCGATCAAGGGACTGAGGAAAAATCCTACATATTTTGATTAGTACCTCGCCTCTGAGTAGATGACTGAAGGAGATGGCTTACCGGCATACTGCGACAAAGAGGCATACCAACCCGCAGCCACAGCATCTACTCCAAAACGATGCTCGGCTAGTTCAGTAGCGTTTTGAGAGTAGATATTGGAACAACTAGTTTGCACCATTGAGAAAAGCATGATCGTCCAGAAGACCCACGGCAATTGGATGATCTTGTTAAAGTCGAACTTCTTGTTCTTCTCAACAAGTGCCTCTCCAGTCGCCGGATCAGGAGGGGGACGAAAGCGCTTATGTGCAATCTTCGTAAAGAAGAAGAAGACAAGTGTGCACAGGTTTGTGAAGAAGGCGACGCATGCACCGATCCAGAAGACCCAAGCAAAGTTTCCGGTATTCTAATAAACAAGGAAGTCAGTTCCCATGTTTTTCTATAGGAGAATTTGAGATCTCATACCTTAGAAATGACGTTGGCCGTGGAGCTTCCAACAAAACCGCCAATTCTCGCGATGCCGATCTGCAGACCTATGGTAGTGCCAAAGCCTCCACCAGGTGCAAACCATCCTGCAAAAACTCTGTAATACGCGATTTGAGTGGCAATGTCTCCTAACGCTGCAGCGACTTTGCCAAAGATCATGAGCGGGAAGGACCGGCATGTCGCTGCGCCTGCGATGACGAGAGCGCCCGCTGTCATGATCAGGTTTCCGTAGAGCATGGCACCTATATATATCGGTCACGGGTGTCACACTAGAAAGCAAATCAGCAGAACTTACCAGCACCGCCAATCCGGTCCGTCAGAATACCAGAGGCCATCATCAATAATGTGACCAAGAACTCCTCACTAGCCTCTAGCAGTGCGAACTGTGTGTTGTTGATGTCTAATTCCTTCTTGATGGTGCTCTTCAGTGACGATGTCAATCGGGCAGACCAAGAAGCTCCAAAGCTGATCAGACAGATGAGCAGGACGGAAATAAGCCTCCAAGTCATTGGAACGATTGTCCGATCGTCTGCATCCTCAGTTCTAGAGTCAGAGACGATATCTTCGTCGACAGCGGCTTTTTGAGCTATTTCAGAAGGAACTTGTGTCAATGCTAAAGAAGCTTCATGCTTCGCAGGATTTGGATCACTCATAGTGAAGGATTGAATGAATTGACGTAGAGTAGCTTAATACCAGGAAAAATGAGCTTCATGAAGAGCCTCTTGCTAAGAGTGAAGATCCCATCCTTATGTAGTCACAAATGCCCTCATTTTCGTTCCTTTCCGCTATCATCGCACCGTTCCGCGGCATTTAACTTTTACCTCTTCTAAGCTAGAAGCACTAGGTTTTAAGCTTCTTTCTCAGCCTCCCTTGGCAAGCTAACACCAATTTTAGGCGTCACCGGCGTGTTGCAATAGGGTGGAAAGGTGACAACTGGGGTCCATTGCGCGAATTTATACACGCTAGAGCATCAGGGTTTATCTAGTCTTAAGCTTCTTTAACGTCAGATGGATCATCTGATAAGAAATATCTTATCCGATGGATCTGATAAGCAAGAAACCACTTTCGGCAAGGGTTCGCGTGCATTTACTTGGCTTGGCAAAGAGGGTAGAACGAGAAGAAGTCGGGCTAATAGCGAGCCTAAACCGAATCGATGTCAAAGCGAACATATTCTTGTTCTAGAACCTCTTCTGGACTCCACTGGAAAGGCCGCTTATATGTTAGCTGGATTTATGGGTACATTGCTCTTCTTTATCCTACTCTCTGCCTGTCACTGTAAACGAATAACTCGGAAAGCTATTGCCGCCATTGGAGCAAAACTAATTATTACCCTACTTAGAACCTTTCCCATACGCAGATTCAATTTTCTCTCAAGTATACACCTAGAAACTGTCTCCTAAATCCTCTCCACACACTTGAGATATTAATAGGCGCCAGCCTTTGCATCAGCTAGATATCCAATCTATAATTCATCGTGACTCCCATGACCTAGGGTATTATCTGCATTGTTGTCGATCTTGAATCCGCCCAGCCGGAGTTTCTGAAACACACCATCTGGATCATACTGCGAAGCAACCCTTTTCAAGAACGCTTTACTTTTCTGACCGTAACCTGCAATGATATCTTGCTCAGTATGCCCGTAGTTCATATACTTGAACTCGCGGTGCTTCCCACGCAGCCTCATGAGTGTGTCGATCTCCGCGTCAAGCTCTCGAACAATCTTGATGGCTTCCTCATCGTCAGCTTCATCTTCCCAGATGATACTAAGCACAATCAATTGTAGCACGTCATCGGAGTCGTCCAGTCCAAAAAGGTTGCCAGCGCTTGAGCCTTTACGCATCTTGGGGTAGATGAGCTGCGCGTCCAGGGCAGCCGTTAGTCGATCTGCATAAGATTCGCTTGTCTTGACCCAGAGGTCGTAGATAGACTTGAGCAACTGAATGTCGAAGCTGAATGTGCGTGTCCAGTACAGGTTGCGTTTCCCTCTGGTGTCGGTAATTTGCTCCATCTCCTTAGCAAACTCCGAGTGGTTCGCCAGCCGTAAAGTGTCGATTACAGCCGGGATAGGCCGAAAGTCATCAAAGATCACGGGGTCTTTGACAGGCTCAGCGTAGTACATGTACTGAGCGACAATCAATGTGCCATTAACCCTGGCAAAGTCCATGAACATGTGTGCCTTTTCGACCTCTGGTACCTTTTTCGCAAACCTGTCATAAGCGTTGAAAACATGTTCAAAGTTGTCTGCGGTGGTAACCTTTATCCCACCCCACATGCCACCAAATTGGAAGGCGTTCAAGGTCATGCTTGTCACTATACCAAAGTTCTGAGCACCACCACCTTGGAGAGCTATATGGAGGTCAGGATGGGATGTGCTATCAACTGTTATCAAAGTACCGTTCGCCAGCACTAGGTCGGTTGATATCAATTGGTCCACCCCCCATCCACGCTGAGCCGCCAAATAAGATATACCGCCTAGTCCACAACCATCAGTCATCTGTCACTTAAATCTTGTAAGAACCTTATAATACTTACCGCCGAATATGAAACCAGACACGCCAACACCAGAATCGCGCCCACCAGCAACTGTCAAACCATGCTCTTCCAAAAAGGAGAAGAGGGGTCCCCATCGATTACCTGGTCCGATCTTCACGGATCTGCCATCGCTCACAATGTCATGATGTGCAATGTTAACAAGATCAAACTGGAATCCGCCTTCGATGCTCGAACCACCGAAGTTGGAAGAGTGTCCGCTGCCTTTGATGGAAAAAGGACATTGGACTTTTGTAACTTCCTCTATGGCGGCCTGAACTTGGTTTGCGCTGGTTGGCTGAAAGAAACAGGCCGGTGCAGTGTTCCTTTGAGGACCATTCCAATATTCAAGCTGGGCGTCTTTGAAAGCTGACGAGGACGAAGAAATAACCTGATCAGGGTACAGCTTGGCAACAGTGTCGCACTAACACAACTCTTAGAGATGCCTGACTAGCCGTGGCTGGTTACTAACCGCTTTAACACATGTTGAAGTCGCAGAAGCCTGGGCAAAACCCCTTCCAACGGACGCAGCAGCGAGGAGACTTTCAAACTTCATTGTAGATATATTAAAGTAAGAGTGTTTTCTTAAAAAGACAAGTTTCAGTATTATTTAGTATATCCTATTAGTATGACATCTCGTACAGATTAAGTATGCATACTTCTATTTGGGTCACACATGCAGATGGAAATGCCATGGTGCTCTTGGCACCGAAGGCAATAGGCTACGCTAGTGTCATTCGAAGATAGCGCTGATGGGACCATGGACTCCGCGGCGGCCGTCTACAGCCAACCCAGCAAATAAGGACATTTAGCACACGGAAAATAGAGGCCATTTCGGACTTTCCGAGTCGACTCGGGGTACACCGAACAATATTTGCCGCTTGTCAAGCTGACTTGCTCTATTCGAACCCACCGAAATTCTCGGAATTCCGCAGTCATTTTTTGAACACCCCGTCAATGCTTACGCACCCATTCAGATCGCTTGCCAGCTCGGCTACAAGAATTTATGCCTAGCTGTCACTTGATAGACGACCGAACGTCGGCGGCCTTTCTATTGCTCTATGTCTTTTCTTGATAAGGCCATTCTGGCTCGAAGTCCCTTAGCGAGTTGTAGTTCAGCGAGGAAGGGCTGGTCACAATAGTCGAGGTCCAGCTTCCCCGCATCTTGGATCGCAGCTGTAGATTGGAAGAGTCGGCCGTAGAAGCCACTATTTTCCTTTCAAAACGCCATGTCGTACGTAGTATAAATTGTAGTCTGAGCAACACCTTATGACCGATATAATTCAACACTTTGCACTTGTACTTGTTAGAACCAGTGTGAATTCTTTGATTATTCCTCTTATTTGTCTAGTTCCGGTATCATTTCCAAACCAACATCTGCTTCAAATCGGTGACAGCGTTCCTTAGTCTCCTCCTTCAACATGGCCAATTCGTTAACCACAAATGACTGCAAGGATGATGCTGCTGAGCACCTTCACGGTTTGGAGAGATATCCCTCTACCAGGCAGGGTACGATGCTGGGGAACGACGTGGATCCACCAAAGACCTACAAGCGGAGATTCATCGGCATGACACAGCTTTTTGTTCTCAATCTTTGCTTCACTATAGCCTGGATTGACTTGGCGCCCGTTGTGGACTTTGCAGCTGAACACTTTGGAAGCTCGGTACCCGCGATCAACTGGTTCTCTACATCCTTCTTCCTCGCCGCCCTTGTGGCCGAGTACCCAGCATCCTTGGTCGCGCGCCGAGGCTTAAAGCTTTCCATGGTTGTGTCCGGTGCTTTTATGGTTGGAGGCACGTGGCTGATGTATGGAGGTGCTCGAATCAAAAGCCTCAGCATGGCATTGACAGGACATTGTGTCATTGCCATAGGACAGCCCTTCTCGCTTATCCTCGCCGCTCCCTTCTCAGATGCATGGTTTCGATCTGGGAGTAGAGCCACCGCAACAACAGTCTCCGGATTAGCTACTATCTTGGGCAGTACAATTGGGCAGTTCATTATGGCGGCATGGATAGAGTCAAAAGATGATGTGGCACAGGGAGTCTTGTATCAGAGCATTTTGTTGTCGGCTGTCTGCTTCACGATCCCTTTCATTCCCGCAAAGCCTCCTACCCCTCCAGCTCGAAACACTATACACCAAACATCTTTATCTCACACACAGGAAGTAAAGACGCTCCTCTCGAGGCCCGAAATCTACCTTGCTGGTATCCCATTTGCACTCACATCGGGAGTCTTCAACACGATGTCCTTTCTTCTTTTCCAGATTTGTATGCCCTACGGGTTCACCGTCGACCAGTGTGTTGTTGCCGGTCTACTACTCATCGTCCCAGGTCTGGTGGCCTCTCTTGTTGTGGGGAGGCTTGCAGATATGTTTAGATGTCATCTTTCCTTACTAAAAGGGCTTGCGTTATTAGATGGTGCTGCCCTCCTCGCCTTTATTTGGGTTGCCCCTTCTGGAAATGTCGGATTCCTGTATAGTATCAGTACTATCCTCAGTATCGGGGTCATTGCACCGAATGGCGTGGCCGTTGAGTTTATCACGGAAATCATATATCCGCTTAAACCGGAGCTTGCTCTCGCGGCCATGTGGGGTACAGGACAACTGTTGGGGGCTGTTTTAACGATTGGCTGTGGGTATATGAATGACGCTCATGGCGGTCTACAGCCAGGTGTCTATCTCATGGTTGCGTTAGGCTTGGTAGCCGTCCCGCTGACCTGGGCGCTTGGGCTTTGGGGTAGACGAGAGTTTGTGCAACTTCGGCGAACTGCAATTCAGGGTCATTTATAGACCTCCAAGAACTTCAAGCTTTGAAATGAAAATGATACCCGTTATCAACTTACATAACTTGTCAAATGCACGCCAGTGAGGTGATACTTTCATTTTTTTTTTTTTTTTTTTTAGTTTTGTGATAAATATTTAGTACAGTATATTCTCGTTGTCATGGTACTACAGGCAAGTGGAGTCGAGGATACTGGTTATGCGAACCATGAAGAGGATGTTTATATGCGTATCTACCTCATACTACTCCACTCCAAGCCAGCTAATATAAATTCCCCAGACAACACCCGCCAAGGCGACGAATAGGTTTCTCCCCTCAGCAGTTCTGAGAAAGATGAAGCTAATCAAACTAACGGCCGGCCACAGCTTCCAACCCGCGACGAGGAGAGGATAGAAATCCTCGTGCGCCTTGTTGAGGATGAATAACCAGTCAATGCGCGTATAGTCAAATTTATACCCCGAAGAGACTGAAGGAACCACCGCTGATTTCATCAAGTTTATAAAGACACACAATAAAAAGGTGTTGACAACTGCCCCAATGGTCTGGTCCAATATGGTCTTGGCAAGTGTGTTGGGCACGTTGAGCTTATCATCGGCAGCTTTACCGTGTCTCTTTGAGACATCCTTTTTCCTGGTGTCATAGCCAGGGAACTTGTTCTCAAGATAATCCTGCCTATACTAGGTCAACAGAACTAATCGGGTACACAGTTTTCTCATGATTAATTGCCTACCATAGGTAATTCGGAGGCGTAGACACAGCTGTCCATACGATGAATTGCGATACGGGCATCCAATCTACCGAGATGGGTTTCTGTCATTCCAAGATCAACGGTGTTCCGACCACGACGTCAGATATCTTGCGAAGTCAATACTTACATCGAGACGATATGCCATCAGCACCTGTGCTAACAAATTGGAAGTTGCTGCTAGAACAACACTCTGCAGGGTAACTGATACCAACGGCGAGCCTTTGAAATCGGAACGAGCCATTTTAACACTTTTATAACTTCAAGGGCTCAGTATATTAGCTAGTCGTGAGCACAGAAAACTTACAACCTATATTTTACCTAAGTTCGAGTACTTGGAAGGCCAATTTGCTACACTTAGCGGCTTGTCAGGAGAGTCGAAAAAGGTGGTAAAGTAAACAATACAAGAGATGTATAATCAAGAATCACACACTCTTGGAATCTTATACATAGCTACATTGAAATACTTGTGCCTCAATCATCCGCTTACATCAGCCGCAACCGTAAAATGTTGTCGCAAGTGCGAGCATCGTAAGTGCGAGCATCTGGAACTGCCGTGTTCTCTTCTTGGCGTAGTTGCGGGGCCTCTCGGTCCTCGGAATCTCCGAGCGTAGATCGTAGTAGGTATTCCGGCTCAAGCTCCAGAGTCTCGGACTAAATGACAATCTAGAATTAGGTTCAAGGAAACAAAACTACGCATGTCGTTCGGTGAATCAAAAACTGCTGCACCGCGATTAAGCATAGGGCTATCTAAATCCAGTTGATTGCAAGATACAAAGTCCGACGCAGCCGGTCCCAGCTTCAGAGTGACTTGACATGCTGATACTACAGTTTATCGCTCGGTGTCTTCCTGCCCCCTCGCCAAAGGCCCTTCGGCTTCCGGGTTTGGCAAACCAAAATCCCCATCTGATTCGAGAAAAGACAAAACTCCACTTTCCGTCAGCCAGAAATCCATATCTTGGAACTCAAATCCATTCTGGATGGGAAACTGGAGGCCCTTGTAAAATATCAGCATGAGAGGCTCACATATCTGATATCACATCTCACCTGAAAGCCAAGTGACTCCTTAATATCACTCGTCCCTATGCCACTATCGCGACTCTGCCAAAGTTCCGATTCTTGTGGATTTGCGGAAGCTCCTGGCTGGATTATGCTTGAGGGGTATGTATCTTCCACAAAGCTGGTAGCTATCTGGAGGAACTGGGTCGGAATCGTGCCAAAGGCCTTGTTTCCGGTTGCATACTGTAGCCGCATGAAGTACGATGTCGCTATTTGCATGTAGGACAAGTCCTTCCTTGTTTCGTCATGACAAGGATGTTCAATAATGAAATCAAACAACACAAACAATGCTGCCTGCGGCATGTTGTATTGTACCCTGATAGCGTGTTAAGCATACAAGTGTGCAAGGGTCAATCAATGTGCAGCACTTACCACGGCAAGACGAATGGTTCAAGATCTATCAAGTGTATCAGGTCTATGATAGATCTTGCAGACTCGGTGAGAAGTAACTTGTATCGCATTTGCTCCTCGAGATCTTGAATCCACGCAAGAATACAGACTCGCGCAAGGGCAATACGTATGTTGTAGAAAGAGAAATGAATTTGAACCGCCACGTAAACTGCTTGTGGCTGCCCTAATTGATAAGACCGGAATCGAATCCCTGGACGAAAGGTTTCTGGAACTGACAGTCTCCAAGCTTCCAGTTCTTCTAAACAACGATTCGCTTCTAGCTGACGTAATTCTGGGGAAAGAGACCTGGCCTTGACTGAGAATAGCCGCTGGTAAATATCTGAGGCCATCAGGGCATGTCTTGACTTGCACTGAAGCCAGTCGAAGCCTGACAAGAACGGCAGGCTAGTCTTGGGAATAGGGCACGATATGTCGTGGTTCGGTATTGTCTATGGATTGGAGGATGAGTACAGGCCAACTAAATGGATTGCATAAATGAAGGGAACTTACCGATGACCGGCCTGTGTTCAAACAATACTCACTCTCCAGCGAGTAGATGACCCAAACAGTCCGCTGAAACTCTGAGTTGGCCTTACAGGCCTCAGCCTTGTTCATTTGGAAATAGCTCACAATCCTTGCTGCTTCAGTAATTAAGATCCCCTCAATAGGAAGGGCTGCATAAGTGGTACCAAATAGAGCCTGAGTTAGTGCTTAGGTCAGCCTTAAGTTTGTTGATCTTGGCTTCGCACTAACCATGGCAGTGATCGCCTAAAATGATAGTTAGGACACGTCTCTATGAGCAAATCAAGGGAATTATGTACCTGGACTGTCAGTAAATTTCTCTGACCAAAGACAAGTCTAGGAAGCAAAGCTAGAGAGATCCGGAAAATATCCCAAGCAGTTCCTGCGAAGGCATTGAAGCTACCGCACTCATGGTACAGACTACCAAGGGCGAGAACAGCATGGTGTAAGGCGCACCAAGCAGGGTCTGTAGATAGGATATCGCCAACACGGGATGAGCGCGCTCTATTCTCGAAAGAGGCGCGGTCAAGGAATGGATATAGCGGGTGCACTTGATCAAAATAGGCTGTGACACTGTTAGTACAGGTACACCAAGTGATCCCGGACTACAAACATTCAAGATAATCCAGTCTACTCTGTTGGGATAAGGATACAGACCGAGTCTCCTTTTCCAAGTCGTTGGGGTATGGAATCGCTCCAACGGGACTTCGTGTAGTCGACTTAACGGCTGCTTCAATCTTGGCTAATAAATCTGTAACTTGGGTATTGCCGATCCGTCTCGACAACGCGGTCAATTTGCTGTTAGAGAAATAGGCGAGGCTAGAAATAGACACTACGAATAGAGTATGTCAACCATGTATCTGCATGAGAGTGTTAAGTCACTCACCATCTTGCTCATTGGCCTAAAGAGCGATCGGATCAGCGGGTGGAGCAAGATGGGCAAGGGTATACTACCATGATCACCGGATAATCCACTGGGGTGGGAGAAACAATTTGATTGGCGGCGTGCATAGTTTCAGTACCTGAAGGCTCGAATTGAGCTTCGGCGTCGGAGTTCCCGAAGATGGATTTACAAGAAGGTGATGCCATAAGGTTGTCGGGCTGAGATCGAGCACCACGGGAAGATGGCGCTCGTGACAGAGGTGTGGCGGGGTCTGCAGCGTCGGGATTCATTGTCTGCCGACGTGACTGACCTTTGGCCGACCGGGTCTTACGAACTTTGGTGCGAGAAAAGCGGCAATCTTCAGACCGCCTCTGCTATGTGAGAGCGAGGTTAGATGGCATCTTGATGAAGGCGGAAAAGCTTGACTTACGCGACAGTTAATGCATACAGTGTCTGACTCACGTTGCTCTGTAAAAGTTATAATTAGCCAAGGATCAGGTTGAAGCTGAGCGACTTATTGGATGACGAACTGATACACCGAACCTTGCGGGCTCGACAGCCGTTGCAGGAATTGAGAAACCTTGACCGAGTTTGCTCTGGCTGTACCATGGCTTGATTCTGTTGCGATTCAGTCTCCATATTGTGATTAAAACCAGGCAGGGCAGTTCAAGATGATATGGTCTAGGCTACGTAACCGTGTCATTCAAGAATCCGACTTGGCAATGCCAAATAAAGATCCTACGTTGATTATTATCACCTAGCCTAGGCCGAGGCATGGAGGCTTCTCCGCATTTCGGGTACATCGGCTTTTTGAGGTTTAATTGGATTGTTCCAAGATTCGGGGTCCGCGGGTAGACGCTTAGTTAGTTACAGCAACCGCTAACAAGACGTCCACCCGGCTGGCGCCATCTCCTCCACAGATAGCAATTAACGTCATGGGACAAGTAAAAAGTTGCTCAACCAAGTTTAGGTAGTAGGTTAGCTCTATAGCTTAGAAGAATAAGAGTACAACTGTGTTTACATGAAGAGTCGCAACCCCGCTCTCGTCATATTTCCTACAAGTGATACTGCAGCTTTTGCTTTGCTTTCAAGTGCAGTCCATACTTCATAAAGTACCTGCCAACCCAACTGCGATAGCACATGTTGAACTCCATCCAGAAGAAGCTTTCTATAACAACCTCCAGAAAAGTAATCAATGGCAAACATCAGACCATTGAATATCCCAATTATCAAGAACAGTCGCCGCCAGATATTTCGGCCTGGAGCATTGGTAGAGCCCTACAGACATTAGCACCTCATGTATATAGCCAAATAACGAAAATGGTGCCGATCTTACAGAAAATTCAAAGTCTTTCCAGACGGGAAAGAGGCTTCTTCTCCAAAAACTCGCCTGGGAGTAAGGGTAGACTGTGGCGTTCCACCGTTTGCCGTTCTTTTTAGTCTCGACAAACCAGTTGGTACAACCGGAATAGAAGACCGTTGACTTAACGCCGGTCTGCATACTGTCTGCCCATTGACTCTCGGCGTCCGACTTTACATCGACAATGCTAGCTTTGCCATCTAGTATGGGCTTGATGACCCGCAGGGAATAGTTGATGCCATTTTCCAGAGCTATGATGGCGGAAGTGTGGCCAACGCCCGAGTTAGGTCCTGCGATGGCGTAGAATCAGTATTGTCTGCTTTACCTACGTAAAGTCATATTTCAACTCACCGTAGAGAAGAAAAAGGTTCGGGAACCCGCTGACAGATGTCGTGTTGTATGCTTCTGCTCCGCCATATCGCTCCCAATGTTCATGTAGATTCTCATTGTTTCTTCCTCTCACCTCGATGCCCTTCAGGAAGCCACCCGTCTCGAAACCATTTGCGAGTACAATAACATCTGCCTCGATGACTTGACCTCCAACTCGAACCCCATCTGGCGTGATTTCAGTAGCTGGTTTATCTGTGAGGCTAAAGCTCTCAGCATGAATGCTCTCAAGATAACCGGAGTCGTAGATGCGTCTTTTGCATCCAAACTCAAAGTCAGGGATAAGTAGGCCGTGATACTTGGCAGGTGCTGTCTTTTTCATGTATGCCAAGGCTGTCTCTCTGAACTTTGCACGTACACGTGCTCCCGCGTCGGTCATCTGAAAAAGTTTGTATTGCCGCTCCGTCTCGAGGAACACCAGGACACGGAGTAATCTCTGGACGCCGGGAATGTTCTTCATCACCCACCGTAGCACATCCAAAGTCGGCCCGTCGATTGGAGGGAGGATCCAATGCTTAGATCGAATGATCTGCGTGAGGTCCTTTGTCTTAGGGAGGACGTTTGGCACGATCTGCGCAGCTGTGCAGCCGTTACCGAAAAGCACTACCCGCTTTCCGGTGAGATCGACATCGTGTCGCCACCTTGCTGAATGAATGATAGGCCCCTTGAAAGACTTGACACCGGGGATATCCAGCTCCCGTGGGTTAGAAAATAAGCCCGTTGCTGAGAAGAGGAACTGGCATTCGTGGGAAAAGAGGGAACCTGTTTCCAGATCCCGAATGGTTAATCGCCATCGAGCTTGCTCCTCGAACCATTCACACTTCTCAACCTGGGCCCCAAAAGTCATCTTATCCAGAAGATGGTGCTTTTTGGCGACTTCCATGATGTACTCATATAGCTCCTCTCGTTTAGCCAAGATACGTGTCCAGTCTGGGTTCGGCTCGAACGAGAAGCTATAGAGCACATTGGGGACATCGCACGCGCAGCCTATACCATCATATCTTCGATTAGCTTAGCACTATTTACCGACTGAGCTGAGTATAGGGCTAATTGGCGTACCGGGATACTGGTTTTGTAACCATGTGCCGCCAGGTTGGCTTTGGCGTTCGAAATAATGAATATCGTCGAGGTTATACCATCGCTTCAGGGTTGCACCTAGGCCAATACCGGAAAGACCAGTTCCAATACAGGCAAATCGGCTGTAACTCGTCTTTTGATTATTTGAAGACATCTTTGCGCTTTTCGTCTATTGTTTGCGAATGAGAAAGAGGTGTACCTATGGGAGTCGGCTTTGAGTAAGTACTTATACTTTTAAGGGAGAATGGTTGCAATGTAATGGGGTAGTATTCATTGATGGTAACATCGCATTCAGTAGCTAGCGACTCAAAACTGCACCTCGGATACAACTCATATTTCCTTTTCTATGTCCCGCTATTTACAGACATGATACCGAGCAAGAACACAAGGTCCGGTCTATGGTTGCATGTCTTAGTCGAGGTGGTGAGCTCGGACTTCTTCCTTGTAGGGTTCAGGGTAAGGTTGATTTGGTTCGCTCTCCCGCGGGCGCCGAGCTAATTTAGCAGGGACCACCGCAAAGTCCGAAGGACCAAAGAAATTGCACCACTACTATTGTTCGGACTTTCCGACGTAACTTACAATGCTTGCGAAATCCCGAACGGCCATTGCTGGTAGCAAAACGCCATTTTAGAGACTTTGAACTAGCCCGATTAGTAAGAGGGATCGAAAGAGCGTGATGTGAGTTGAGAGATTGATCGTGAACCATCCGCACCACTCGGTAGACTGACTTCGGTAGGTATAAGAGAGGTATCATTTACTAATAGTGACCGGGCGCTTTCGCATCCTATGTTTAGTATTGTTTATTTGGATGCCTAAAGCTTTTCTCTTACATTTTCTCTAACGAGTTCTCAAATCTACCTTTCCACTTTATTCAATACGGAGTTGATACCATGACTCCTAATTCGGCTGGCGATAAATCCTCCCTCAGTACCTCATTCGATGTTCTCATAATTGGAGCAGGGATTTCCGGGATCCACCTGGCATATCACATCCAGACAAAAGCCCCAGAACCAGCACCGTCATCATATGCCATTCTCGAGTCAAGGAGTAATCTTGGTGGCACATGGGACTTTTTCAAGTACCCAGGTCTCAGGTCTGACTCGGATATGTTCACCTTTGGCTTGCCCTGGTACCCTTGGCGAAAGAACAAAACTATTGCTTCGGGTGCTGAGATTCGTTCTTATCTAGAGGACGCGGCGACACACGCTGGGATCCATAAGAATATCAAGTATCAGCACAGAGTGCTTTCGGCGCGTTGGTCATCCCAGAAGGCGCGTTGGGCCCTGGATGTCGAAGTCAATGGTGTTCCCGGGCATACTTACGAGGCGCGTTTTCTTATACTGGGCACAGGGTACTACGACTATGACGAGCCGTTAGCTACCCAGATCCCAGGCCTAGATAGCTTCTCAGGAACCATAGTCCATCCCCAATTCTGGCCAGAGGATTTGGACTATGTCGACAAGGACGTTATTATCATTGGGAGTGGTGCAACTGCAGTCACCCTATTACCAAATCTGACGGAAAAGGCGAAGCACACAACCATGTTGCAAAGAAGTCCAACGTACATCTCGCCGTTACCCTTGGTTGACAAGCTAGCACAGGTTGAGCGCGCCATATTGCCCGCTCGTCTTGCCGGACGAGTAACTCGACTTCGTCGCGCTATTCGATTCTTCGGCTTCTACTGGTTTTGCAAGTTCTTCCCCAATACTGCAAAACGACTCCTTCGCAACTTGTGCATGAAACTCCTTCCCCCGAATATCCCCGTTGACCCGCATTTCACTCCTCGATATAACCCCATGGACCAGCGGCTCTGTGCGTGTCCAGATGGCGACTTTTTCGCCAGCTTGCGTTCTGGAAAGGCGAGCATAGTGACCGACATCATCAATAAGGTTACTGAAGATGAGATTATCCTGGCTTCAGGTACAAAGCTACGGCCTGATATTATCGTCACCGCGACTGGCCTCAAGCTTCGCATTGGCGGTGGTATTCAATTCTTCGTCGACGATGACCCAATCAATATTATTGATGGGTTTGCTTGGAAAGGGTTCATGCTGCAAAACGTGCCTAATTTGGCTTTTGTGTCCGGTTACTACAACGCTGCATGGACTTTGGGCGCAGAAGTGACAGGTGTGGCCGTTGTGAGGTTATTGCGCCAGATGAAGTCCAGGGGGTTTTCCTGCGTTGTTCCACGGCTTGGGAGATCCGATCAAAATATGGACCCGCAGTCGTTCTTTAAAATCTCGTCTACGTATGTCAAGGATGCTATCAAGTATACGCCTAAGGGAGGAACGGGACAGTGGGCACATAGGTGGAATTACTTTTTTGATCTCGCGAAAGCTAGCTGGGGGGATCATAAGTCTGGTTTGGAGTACTTTTAGAATCCACTGAATGGTAGAGTAGCCTCCATCGACCTTGTTACGCGTTGAAACCAAATTATTCTAGTTCATGGTTCAATAGTATATTTCAACCTTGTCGTCGCCAAGTATGTCATAGCGGTAGTAGTCATTATGGTCTTACATCGCTGTTCTTCCTTTTCCCATGCCATTCCATCTCCCATTTTGCATCCAATACTGCCCCGCGCCTTTACCATTACGTAAATAATCCACTCGTTACAAAAGAACACTATCATCAATCGAATCTTACAGATCTTACAGATTTCCTCCGCCTCGACTGCCCAGGTGGATCAGGCACCGGGTACGGCGGCACAGGTGCCCTAGCAGGTTCTTCATCCTGTTCATCTTCCGTTTGGACATACGCAAACCGACCTGGCCTGACTTTCTGTTGATCTCCTTCTACGATCTTTCTTTCCGGTGGCCGAGCGTCACTCCTTTGGATAACGGATGGTTGAACCCTTCTCCTATCCTGCGATGCAACACTCTGTGTTGAGCTGACTCTTGTACGTGGAGGTCTTAACGCACGTCTGAAGTCTTCGTAAATCTCCTCGTCGTCATCTGGTTCAAGCAGCCTGGTTGGAACCTGTCGGGTGCGTCCTTGGTTAGATGGCTGCGCATCTTGTGGAGGTCTGATGACAGATGGAAGAGTCTGGCGACGACGTGGCATTGCTCGACTCAAGGTCGGCGATGGTGGTGCGTGTACTGAGGACCCCGAAGCGACAGAAGGCTGACCCCTCAGGACCAAGGGTTGTGGCCTGCTATCGTAGCCCTCGCGTAGTCGCTGCGGTGCCGGCTCGTCTTCCAATCCGCCTTCAAGCTGAAGATACTCCAATATAGTATCGAGCTTTGACCTGATCTCCTGTGCGTCTTGCTGGCTAACCAATGCCGTTTCTCCATCATGTTCCCTTACCCTCCCCTGAAGAAGATCCATCATTGTCTGTCTTGATGACAGCCCTAATGAGTCTTGGTATTCCGGTCTTTGTCTATCTTCAAGCAGCCGGTAGATGATGCTTGTGAGCTGACGAGATCTTTCTCTCTCTATGTTAAGAGATCTTGTGTCATCGCTGGTATACTGGCTCGTGACCGATGGACTTCGCCGTGGACGGCCTTGGATCCTGCCTGGGTCTGATTGGATCTCAGCCTGGTATACTTGACGTTGAAGGTTTCTGAGTTCGGCCATGATATCTTGCATGGTTATGCCATCTTCTGACGAGGCTCTCTCCCGTGTAGGTATATATGGTCGCCTCTGCCGAGGTCTTTGATATGACCCTTCCCTTCGAAGACTCCTCAGATTGGGTTCAGTCTGTGGCTTCGGTTGTCGGGAAGGTTGAGGTCGTGCTGGAGTTCTTTTCGGGTTCCGCGTTGGGTACTCAGGGTATGGTGGGACTTCCTCCTCATACCTGTAAGAATCGGCGGGACCGTATCCTGGGTCAGAGTATCCTAACGGTGGCACATCGTATCCAGGTGGAGTAAAGTACTGGGGGTTCCGAACACTTGCTCGCGGGACAGAGAAATACCCTCCGTCTCCAGGATATGTATATGGACTGGGATAACCAGCCGGCGCCGGGACGTTTGGTGATGGATAGTAAGATGGGTTCGTGTTCGCTTGATACGCACCCGGCGGCGGAGGAGGAAATGTGTTGGGGTCGACGCCGTAGCGCATGGCCTGCCTCATTACCGGATCGCCCGGGGCTTGTGAAGGGAAGTCGTTGGTATGTGTTCGATAATGCGCAGGCTGTTTATGTCGAATTTTATGTCTGCGATTTGATGTTTTGGGTTGCTTGGCTTCTTTCTTGCTTGGAGAGCTACTCTTTTCCTCTTCGTCATGTGGACTCTCTTCTTGGGGATGACCCTCTGCGTCATCTGATGGCGGGGGTGTCGACACCATGGTGACTAGACCAATCACGTCAAAGGCAAGTTAAGATGAGGGAGAGATCGAGTGGAATTTCTGACGATAATTGAGAATCGTTGGAGAATGAGTATTAAATTGAGGATCTGCGAGCTTATCTTGATCTGGGCCGAAAATCCACAAGTTAAATGAGATGAGGCTCTGCTTAGGTTGCCTCTTTTTCGTTAGGTCGCAAACGACTGACGTGGACGAAGAATGCCTTACGAAGGAAATGCATCTGCTATTGGGCTGTTCACTCCCGCTATCAAAGCTGTATCTTCATTGCTCGTGTCGTGTTTCGCTGCACATGTACAACGTTGAGCGACGCATTCTCCAACAACATCATTGGTGGCGTGATATCGTCATTGGACACTAAAACCGGAAACGGGCGGGTTGGTTGCAACCGAAATGCGAGCGTGATCATTTGCATGACTTAGTCAGGTTACAGTGAGGGATAAATCCGACTGATCGTCCCTGCTGAAGGAGAAGTGTGGGTAAGCTTTGTGATCTTGAGTTGCCAAAGGGTATTCAAAGCGACTGCACAAGGGTAGTCAGAGATTCTGTAACTCATTAAACATTTGCTACGACATGTTGAACATGTTTGGGTAACAAGGCTTCCGTGAATCCGGATTGAGGCCATCAAGATGTCGAAATGGGCAGATGCTGACCACCTTTTCTGCACGTCGTACATGTATCGCCAATCGCACGGCCCCATCCGCTGCATGTGCATGTACCGTTCTGCAGCCAGACTAATTCGACTGGTTGAGTTAGAGTGAACGATTATGGTTCTCGGCAGGCAGAGATAAGAGGAGTAACATTAATCCCTTCCCGATGAAACCATTGATAGGTTCGTTTCCGCGAAGTACAGTATATCTCACCAGCGGGTGAACTCCATATTCCCCAGTACACCGTCAATAAGCATCGGAGAAGGTCCAAGCATATTTCCCAACGACTTCTCCCCCGGCGAAAGCTTCTGATCTAACTCCTGCCAGCTCGTCGCCGTAAGGTTCGCATAGTCATTCTTGTCGCCGTTACCATCATTACCAACCAGATCGACCCGAAACGACAGATCATGTAGCTTGTAAGGCTTCTCTTGGTTATATCCATCAAGTATCTTGATCTTCTCAATAATAGGATCCGTTGTCAAGGCAGTCGACATGAGTACTGCCATATAGTCCGATAGCATACCCTCGAACCGTGGGAAGGGTACCTTGAAGCATAACTTATCGCTCTTGATCTCAGAAGGACGAGTTAGGTTGCGTCGACCATATGAATCATCAACGAAGTCTCGGAAGCCGCTTGTTTGATCGGAGAATGACCAGGTAAGCCTGAAGGAGTCACCGAATTTGTAACGATCCCCTTTCATTTTGGATATTCCGGAAGTTTCGACGGGCTCGAGTCGCCAGTAGCATGGTTCGTCCGTGCTGCTGATGGATGGAAGAAATACTCCTTGAGCATTACGGTACACGGTTAAGGCTAAATCAGCCTTCGGAATTGCCGCTGATTTGACGCATAGTAGGGTATCAGGGCCGATCTAATGATGAATCATGTTAATTAAGCACTAATGCATAGAAAGACACTGGACCACGGATATTACTTACGCTGTGTCCCCTGGCAATCTCTAACCGCCAGACTACGTGGCTGAATGCTTCATCTGTCTTAGTACCTAGCTACAAGTCAGCTAGTCTCTGGTAAAACAAGCCAGTGTCCTACTCACCGAGTTCTGCTCCGGAAGAGAACATTAGGATTGGCGCTTGAGTCCTATAAGTTCAGAACATTAGGCACTACAATCGATATTGTAGATGTATGCAAACTGACCTGCTTGGCTCGAAGAGTGGAGTGGTAGAGAAACCAGGATTATGAGCCGTAATCTTGGTCATGTCTCCAGTAAGCCCAAACGATTCATTCCTGAATGCTTCTTTGGGCTGTCGATCTGGTACTCGAAGATTGGTGCGAACTGGTGTAACTGACTCGTTCGGGCGATGTCCTAGATAGGTCGGTACCTAAATCAAGATTAAGGAAGAGCTAACTAGTGTTATACATTGAGCGTACCTTCTTGTGAGATATGACGCCAAAACTCTCGTTCTGGCTGGCAACTTTGAAGCGGACATGCAGCATCCTTGATTCTAGGATTACCATGTACTCACTGAGCTTAGGCACCGCGGCAAAGAACCACGACCTAGTTTCGTGATAGCCAGCCATCTTTGAGATGGTGTCAACAATTAGGGTGAGTTTGGTCTGCTCAATGATACGCCAGTTGTTGAAGTTCGCAACTGAACCACTCCAAGCCGGCGGGCTGCCAATGATTAATAGAAGCACATAGTCAAGACATTCGTCAACTCACTCTGCTGCCAGGATCGAATTTTCACCAGTAGCCTCAAATCCCATACTCTCGCTCGTACTCGCACTTCTGTTAAAAGCCTCTGCACTGTCTTGACTCTCCTTAGACCCTTTGACGTTTCCTTTAGCCCCAAATGGCTACCCAATTACATATGATTAGCTAGACCCTAGTTAATCAGATAGAAGACCTACAGTGGAAACAGCAACTCCAACTTGTGCCTTGAATGATTGCTTTTCCTTGCTCTGTTTGACGTCTTCATCGCTCTCAACAACCTTGGTAGTTTGAAGGCAGCCTCCAAGAGTGACAGAATGACAAAACAGATGTTCAAAGGTACTATAAAGCTCCCGGAGCGCGTTGATCTAGTTTACTTTAGTATAGCCCTCAAAGTCGATCATATTACTAACATTCTTGGTCTGCTTGATGCCATCAAGGGCGGCACGAAGCTCCTCGGTTGGCTCTAGATCCTCTGGTCTCAGGAAGACATCAACTCGGGGGAACATGTAGCTTCCAATCATTCGCTTTGCATAAGACTTTTTGGTCTTGTTTCCCCCAGACGTGTCTTCTTTGGCAGCTCCGCCTGTAACGCCTACTGAGTATCCGCCCCATCCTCCAGATCTGTAGGTGCGTTTCAGCAAAAATTTCACAGGATGAGATTGTGGTCGAGAGTGACTTCCGCCGAGCCTTCCACTGACGATGCACCGAAATGATTCCTGGCCATGGACTCCTGGAACTCGTTGCTGACCATGGTTATTTCGATTCTAGATCTGTCATTGATTGCATATAATGGAATGGCCCCGAGCTTTGCTGGAATGGGCGCCTCCATATCTTCTGCGGTGAGTGGCTTTTCTATTTCGACGGCTGCTTCAGTTCCTTGTCCTTCAGCTGAGACATCTTTAGAAGTATCTGGAGACTTCTCAGTGCCGGACGTTGATAGTACTGACGTCTCGGTTGGGGTTTCTGGAGTGATCACTGGCTGTTGAATAGCAGGAGACGGAAGAGCTATCGGCCTCGGTGGCAGCTTGTTTCTGAGTCGAAAAGCAGGGGTCGTGGCCCTCACAATACTGCTTGTCCTCTTGTCGATTTTCCAACCATACAATAAGCAACAGTTCCTCAGTACAGAGTCCCAGTCGGCTTCGTCCATTTGACTCGTGTACCTTTACCTCGATTAGCATACCGGAAGTATCTCTGATAATAGCTACTTACTTGAGTGGGGATGCCTCACGTGCAGCAATGTCAGAAGAACGGAGACTTTCCTGAACGTAAACAGACTTGAAAAGGACTGGCAAAAGGCCTGGAAAGTTAGCCAGCCAACAGTTGATGACTCGATGAATGCCGGTGAAGCAAAGCAAAGGATACAGGGCGCGGTCGATTAAATGAAGAAGATCAAAAGGAAAGCAGAGGAGTCTGTAGCAAACATTGATCCAACGCTGTTCACTGGAAACGTTGATGAGGCCTCTCGCGCAAGAATCGAGAAGCTACTCGTGATGGCTATTATCTACAGGCCTCGTGCCGTAGAAACAAAGAAAACAAAGTGGAATGGTAGAGGCCGCAAAGGTAATCAGGGAGAGAAACAGAAACCTAAAGCGAAGGCGAAGGAAACAAAGGCAGAGAAGCAGAAGAGCGAAGCGAGGACGAAGGCAGTAAACGCAAAGAAGCAGATTCTGAACAAGGAGAAGAAGAAGTATAATGTGAAAGGCAAATCGCAGTTATCGAAGAGGGAGTGGGAGAGTGGGAAATTCACGGGCTCCGACTCCGATACACCCAAGGCTCGAAAGTCAAATCGGAAGAAGCAGCAAGGAAAGGATACGTAGGACCTTGGTATTCCGATTCATAGTTAAAGCCTTCTTACCGCAAACCCCAAACATACATTTATATTTACTTATCATACTTCCCGAACTTTTACTTAGTGAAAGGCGCGTACCTGGAGTAGTTTGACCGATGCACTCTACAAGGCTTGTTGACATAGGTGTTGCGTAGGCTTCGCCGATATTACCTAGAGTGTAAGAGCGCAATGGGCCTCAACCTGCTAGCTCACTAAGATTTGATCTCTCTAGCACATGTCAGACGAGGTAGTCGTTGAAAGGGTGCTATGGCAGATGATATAACAGGAGAGGACTGTCATGTTGTTCTCGAGACTGTATGTCCAACCACGATATTGAGCATGTTCCTTTTCGAGCCGAGGAGTGGCCACCCTCATTTTCTCTCATTTTCGATGCCTACTACCATTGGCTAGCGATCATGTGGCGAGGCGGTTATCTTAACGCCTGCGCCTGTGCAGATAAGCCTGACGAGACAAGCTTAATACCACGCCGCAGCTATGATTTACAATAAGCTTTAGTAACCGGCGATTATTTGTAACACAACACAAAAACAATTGGTCAGTCGAATTTGTAAAACTCGAGATGCCGTATAACCGTTGCTTCTCCTCATTTTCGGGTCCCGTTTCTTGGCCTAAATTCTTACTCATCTGGCGATCCCCTCTCTTGGTTGGTGCTGAGTGAGACTACCCCAGCAGAAGGATCTGCGCAAAGATGTATAAACTGAACAGGTTCTTGGCTCTGGTCTTGGAAAATCTGTCTTGTTAGATACAGTTGTTCAAAATGCGGACTTTTCATACACCTCTTACGATTATTGAGACTCTCGCCAATTCTCGTGGGGACTCTGCGGCAGTGAGATATCTGTTATCAGAGTCCTCTACTGAGTACAAGACGATTACTTATGCGGAATACTGTGATGATCTTGAAAATGCGGCAAAGACCTGGTTATCTGTTTTATCACAGGCTGGCATTGTGAAAGGTGCCGTAGTGGGAATCTGGTAGGTCCTCTGTCTACGCAGCCACGGTCATCTGACATTTTGCAGGATGAGGGGCTGGTCATACCAGGATCTTCTACACTATCTGTCTCTCCAAAGAGCCGGCTTCATTCCACAACTCTTCTCACTCCGCATGACGAACCCTTCCGTTGTCTATGAACTTCTAGGCAAGAGCAACGCTGCAGCCTTGATCTATGATGCAAGCTGCGAGTCTTTAGTAAAAGATTGCCCTCTTCCAACCTTCCTAAGCGAAGGTGCTTTGGATAGAGCTGCAACGCGGGATGTTGAGCTTGAAAAGGTGACTACTGCTTTGAACGGCGATCAAGTCTCAGTCATTTTTCATACTTCAGGTTCAACTTCAGGAATGCCCAAACTGGTTCCAGCTACTGTCAGGTGGATGGACTGTTTGATTCGGAAGAACAAACCATATACTCACAGCGGACCACAGCCTGTTTACTGCCTCATGTTAGTTCTTCGAAACTCATCATGTTCCAAAACTGACCCGTTACAGGGGTTCTCATGCCCATTTAGGTAACACCATCAATCTCGTGGAAGCATTAGCCAATGGAGGTTGTTTGATTCCACCCAAAACCATTCCATATCTAACTCCAGAGCTACAGAGTATGATTGCGCATGGCGGACTGACAGCCCTCAACATCTTTCCAGCACTCCTCTCACTCTTCATCCGTGACGCGCGCACAAACGCCGTGTTACTTGAGCAACTTCAGAGTTTGCATCACATCTTCCACGCTGGGCAAGTCCTTGAACCAGCGGATCAAGCGTGGGCTCATCAACAAGGGCTAAAGCTTATTAACACCTACGGCTCCACCGAGATTGGACTGTCGATGCGCGCATCTGCCACTTCCCAATACCTTACTCCATTTCCAGAGTCAGGCTGTGAATTCATCTCTCTGGGCGGAAGCTCATCTTCATCGGATCAACTTCTTGAACTTGTCATCCCCGCTGATGCGGATGACTGTCCTCATCCGTCACTCAGAGATAAGGCGGATGGCAAATTCCATACTGGTGACCTTTTCCAGAGGGTCGACACCGACCAGTATTTATACAAAGGGCGAGTCGATGATAGGATCAAGATGCAGCTGTCGCTTGTCTGCGACGCGGGATCTCTTGAGACTGAAGCAATGCAAGTCTGCGAGGCTGATCTGATATCCGCTGTATCTGTCATTGGATCTGGACGTCCCAGTCCAGCCATTGTTGTCGAACCCAAGAATGACGACATATTAAAGTCGTGTGATGACAGTTTGACGAAGTTCAAGGAAGAGATACTGCGCAGGATATCACCGTTTCATGCGCGCAAGTATCTCCATGAACGAATTGAAAACCCGCGCCTGGTCTTTGTTGTGCCTCAAGGAACACTACCAAGAACAGCAAAGGGAAATATTATGAGAAAGTCAGTGGAAAGTATGTTCTTTGATCAACTAGAGAAGAGCTATGAAGCTATTTCATCTGTGCGACGCTCCCACGGTGATGACCGATGACCGTGGACACTAGAATTGGAGATAGCACAAGGATCGGAAGTTATTCTCAATTATTGGACAAGCATAAATAAAAATTACCAGTGCATATTTATGATGGCCTTTGTCTCACTGCATATCATTTCTGCGAGCATCGTTGTTGTAAGATGTACGTCATTGACTCAGTGGAGAGTGGTGATTCATGGCTTTCTAAGCCACTATATGAGAGGAAGTGAACAGCATAGATTCGATATTGAGGTTTCTGTTCATTCACAACCCGAATGAAAGCTTTAAATCTCACAGCAGGAAAAAGGATATCTACAGGGTTATTATACCGCAGTTCCAGATTATCATCGACAAGAATCGCGTTTATCCATCAAAGCACAACCAACATATTCTATAGAAGGACCCAGATCAGCACCATGTCCTCCATCGTAGACAGCGTCAAGGTATTATCTCGTATTCCTTACCTACTACCAGTAATTGACTTGTCAGAACACCATCGCCGAGAACTTCGGTGGTCCAGCCGAAAAGCTCGCAACCCACCAGTTCTCGCTCTCCGAAACCCCCGACCTCACCAACAAAGTAGCCGTCGTCACCGGCGGCAGCGAAGGTATCGGCTACGGCGTCACCCACACTCTTCTGTCCCACAACATCAGCAAACTCTTCATCCTCTCCATCTCCGAAGACGTCGTCAACGGCGCCAAGAGGTCCGTCGCTGAAGAACTCGGCCAAGAGAAAGCTGATCGCACAGAGTGGATCCAGTGCGATTTGAGTAACTGGGCTGAAGTGAAGAAAGCAGCCGAGCAGATCAAGAAATCTACTGATCGTCTAGATATTCTTGTTAATAATGCGGGAAGAGGAATTATGACGTATCAGCTTTCGAAGTATGGTGTTGATCAGCACATGGCTGTGAACCACTTTGGTCATGTTCTTTTGACTTCTTATTTGCTCGAGCTTTTGAAGAAGACGGCTGATGAGCATGGGACTGTGAGGATTGTTAACCTTGCTTCTAATGCGCATCAGGGTGCGCCTAGCGATGTCAAGTTTGAGAGCCTTGATGAGCTGAACCAGGATCTTGGACCGAACCCTCAGTATGGACGATCCAAGCTGGCCGCCATTCTGTATAGTCGGTATTTGGATCGTCATGTCACCAAGGCTGGAAACCCCAAGATCTTGGTGAATGCCACGCACCCTGGATTCGTCAGCACCAGACAGAGCGTTGAGCATATCCATGAAGCGTGAGTCTACATACTCTGTCTCTTTTGATCCTCACTGACACAAACCAGGTATCCCCTTGCTGGTTACGCCATGTCGACTGGCATGGAACCTTTCAAGAAGGATCAGTTCCAGGGCGCCACTAGTTCGGTGTTCGCTGCGACTATCACTGACAAGTCGGGACAGTATATCTGCCCTCCTGCTGTGCCGGAATCGGGTAATGAACTTTCGCAGAATGAGCAGCTTGGTGAACAGTTGATGGAGTTGACGAGGAAGGTCATCAGCGACAAGTTTGAGAGCTTCGATGATCGGAAGTTTTATTAGACCTTTGTCATATATGTCGAATCATAATTGCTATCACCGGTGTTAATAAATATGAAAAATACAATCGACGTTTTTAACATGCTCGAAACTGTCCAAGGATCTTGTGTTGACGTCGTGATTCGAATTTATTTTCATCAACTTGCCTAATCAAGATCGAGATACTGCCAATTTTCTTAACCAGTATCCGCGCTTATATAGCTAACTTCCTTGCCATTGTGCTTAAAGAATCCTGAGTAGAAGACTAATATTCTCCCTTTGCAAGGTAATTCTTGATACATGCGTGGGCTGTTAAGTATGGACTACATGATGTTGGGACTATTCTGTCTGTGTAGTACCCTAGAGCGGTTTTGCACTACGCAACTTTCACTCGGGTTAGTATATGTACATATTTACAATTTAGAGCCGAAATGATCATCGATCTTAAATGGCACGGTCCTATAGTCTAGTGGTCATGACGTTGGATTTTGATCACCCTCAAAGTCTTCCAAAGACCCCGGTTCGAACCCGGGTAGGACCTCATTTTTTCTCATCTGGCGTTTCGCGTCACCACTTTTTGCCCAAGTTCACTCCCTCTCTCCTTTCAGTTCCCCCCATCACGTTCTGGAAATCTCAATGACGCGTCGGCAACTCGGTCACATCATCAAGGGTCCAACCCCAGCTTTTTCAAGTCATCAAGTGGAGCCAACCTGGAGAACCCGCACCAACCAGCACCTCAGCCATCAACGCCATGCTTATAGCAGCCTAGTCCCACGTCACCAGACCATTCCCCTTCTCCGCATCTTCCTCATTGGCTCCGTTTCTCTCTTGCCTCCTGAAAAACAATATCACGAAATTCCTCGCGGTCGATGGTAGCGACATGATGGTGCTCGGCATGGGCTGGCATAAGCCTGACAACTTTGCCGGTTCGTCGAGTCGGGCGATCACGATTGGGTTGTTTGTTGCGTCAGGAGGTTTGTTGTTTGGCTATGATCTGGGGTGAGTTTCGTAAAAAAATGTCTCGTTGGTTTTTGGGATTCTGCGGCGCCGTGAGCATCGCCTTATGCCTGCATGCGACACTGCTATTCTCTCCGCTCTCTTGTGTTCTATCGCCTGATGAAAGTTGCGCTGCGCGTTGAGTACAGTTGTCGCGAGATAGCCTCAAAGGTCTCTCCTTATTGACATTGATCGGCAACACTATGGCCCTGACTAACCTCATCTCACTCATAGCGTCATCAACGGCATTCTCGCCATGTCTGTCTTCAAAGACCACTTCAGCACCAACCATTCCTGCAAAGATGACGAAGGACACATCGATCTCTGTCCCGAAGACTCATCTCTCATCGTCGCCATTCTCAGCGGTGGAGCCGCCATCGGCGCTTTAGTCGCAGCTCCATCTGGTGACAGCATCGGGCGGCGGAAGACATTACTCGCAGCTGTCACCACATTTTGTATTGGAGCAATCTTTCAAATATGCGCTAGAGCAACACCAATGTTATTAGTAGGAAGGTAAGTTATTTATCGGTGACTTGTTGCGATTGATGCTGATGAAAAAGGTTACTTGCTGGTGTTGCAGTCGGAGCTATTTCCGTTCTCGTCCCTCTTTACCAGTCCGAGACTGCACCGAAATGGATACGCGGGACCATCATATGCGCGTATCAGTTCTCCATCACGGTGGGGATATTAACTGCGACTACTATTAATGTCGGCACATCGAATATCAACAGCGATGCCGCATATCGAATACCACTTGGCCTCCAACTCGTACCCGGCCTCATCCTGGCCGCTGGTATTCTTTATCTCCCCGAGACTCCTCGGTTTCTCGTCAAGAAAGGACGGTTAGTAGAGGCGGGAATATCCTTGAGTCGTTTTCGCAGACTGGATATGACGCATCCTGCTCTGGTGGATGAGCTTCAAGAGATTATCGCAAATCATCAGTATGAACTAACCCTCGGTCACGATACATATAAAGCTCTCTTTGCGAGAAACTCCTCCCTTGGCCGTCGAACCATGACTGGATGTGGGCTACAAATGCTGCAACAACTAACTGGTATTAACTTCGTTATGTATTACGGAACCACTTTCTTCAGCAATGCCGGGATCAACAAGCCCTTCCTCACCAACCTGGCCATGATCATCATCAACTGCGTTTGCACAGTACCGGGTCTCATCGTCATCGAATCATGGGGAAGACGCAAGCTCCTCATGGCCGGCGCTCTAGGCATGGGCGTTTCTCAGTTGCTAATAGCAGCTGTATACTCAGCAACTAACGACAAGACGGAAAAGGCTCATGGGGGGGCTTCCAACATGGTCCTTGTCATCTTTTGTGCCATCAACGTGTTTTTCTACGCATCATCCTGGGGACCTGTTGCCTGGGTTGTTACTTCGGAGATCTTCCCACTCAAAGTTCGCGCGAAGGCCATGTCAGTCTCAACAACAGCAAACTGGCTCTTGAACTTCGGAGTAGCATACGCACCACCATATATCCTCGGCAGAGGTGCCAACGCATTCGGGCTCAAGATCTTCTTCATCTGGGGGACGTGTTGTCTCCTTTCCATTGCTTTCGTATGGCTGATGGTATACGAAACTAGCAAGATGACACTGGAGCAGATTGACGAGATGTACGAGAGAGTAAGATATGCATGGGAGAGTCCAGGGTTCAACCCTACATGGAGCTTCCAACAGATGCAGAACGCAGGCTGGGCAGCGAATGCGCAGCCAGAACAACAGGCTGGCGATGGACATTCAACATCGAACGTCAACTCGACAGACGATGAGACCCATGAAACGGCGCCGATAAGGCCGGATAATGCACACGGATCGACGACTCCTATGGCGAATTTGGATTTTAGTTACTAATTAATCTCTGTTTACATTCCTTGCCACCGAATGCAGTCAGAATGTGAAACGGCCGTTAGCTTGGAAAAGCCAAGCTGTGCCAATGCAACAGTGAACTCAACCGAATTCCTGGATGCTTACAACAATGTAGCATGACCCTGGAAATAGGCAGAATCCTTCACATTTCCAACAACAAGTGCTTGGCGAACAATCACACCTTGCAAGCAAGCTGATGTTTCACAAGAAGCCCCCTTTCGTAACAATGCCCAGCCTAGAACGGTTGCATAAACCTCCGTCTGACAACGGAGCGTTCCTCGGAATAATGGATTATCCTATTCTGGCAATCATCTGTAACTTTCTAGATGCATCGGGACCCTTACGTGTCTTACCGTTCGATTTCTATTAGAATAGAACCATATTGAGTTTTCCAGACTCCACCACGACTGACCAAATCTAATCGGATCTCACACGATAGGATATCACAAAGTCTGACGCCGAGCCCGAAGCGCGAGCTTACCACTTCTGAGACAGGTGACCACCCGGCCGCATTCCAGTATCCTCCAGAACAAGAACCAAACTCGTACCGTTGGCCAATCAACATTCCGACGACCGCAACCGTCAGTTACATCCTCATTCGGCAGATGAACGACCAAGCTTGCTGTGGCTGAAACCTGAACGATGATCTTCCGATTCTTGGCATTCCATGATGATTGTGGCTTGGCTATGTCGGGTACCAGAACCGGTATCAGGTCATGGGCTGATTCTAGATGGTGCTTACCGGGCCGGGAGGTGACATTCTCAACACCATCGTATAGGGCTGGGGGTCTCGGTCTGGGTTATCGGGAAAGCGGCATCATCGCAGCTGTGGACTATTCTAGATGTCGACAGAAGAGGCTGAGGATTATTCATGGCTCACGCAGGACTTAGTGTTTGCGCGAGGGTAAACGGCTAGATCTCATCACGGTACAGCTTCTAGAATAGGTGTCTGGACACAGGACGTAAATTGACTTGGTGAGTTGGCATTTCTCACGATAGGGTATACCTTGCGCCGCTATCTAAGCCTCTGAGCTTGAACATCAATACAAAGAACTCGTAACCATAACCAACCATTCATTCTCCATAGCTTACATTTGAGAAACTGACCAAACAAGAACGTAATACCATCCAAGATACCCAAAGAAAACTCGGTAGCTTCATCTTCCCTTCGTCTTCAATCCCGTCATTGACGCTGAACTCCTAATAGAACTTGCGGGTGTATTCGAGAACACAGGGCGACATCCTTCAAGCTTCTGCCGACGATCAAACTCCTTAAGAAACGTGTAGACACTACCGAGAGGCATGTATTCCAGTAGAGGCCGCAATTCGCTGGGAAACATTTCCGCTCCGTGATCTTTAATGTCCTCATTGACGCGATTGAGGCGAAGAATCTGCATCCAAGACACAATCCCATCGCCAACCATGAACGTCGGAAATTGCGCCTGGGCAATATCATCCAGAATCCACGTATTCCGGAAATACGGCCTGTTGAGAAAGCTGGAGATGGCCTTGTAGCTGGGTACCTCCGTCGGGTCCGTGATCCCCTCAGGAATGTCACTGAGATGAGCCACCGGCCCCATCCACTGCAGAATCGGCGCGTAATTTGCTGGGTTCGCCTCGCGATCACCTGGTTCTCCGAAATTCGCGGGCATGCACTTATCCCACGCCCTGATGATCTCAATCGCAAGATCAGACGTCGCGTCCTTTGGTCCCAGCCATCCAACGACCAACCTCGCCTCGCGGTACGCACGAGCCATATGCGCACGGCGCTCAGCCTCTTCTTTCCTGTCGCGCCTGTTGATGCATAATAGATCGATCCAGATTCGTAGCGGAGGTTTGTCGCATCTCGCTGCGCCGGGGTCGACGAGTTTTCGGAGGAATGAGCGTAGCCATCCAGGGGGTTTCTTTGTCGGCGATGGTGGTGGGGAGGGTTGCTGCTGCTGTTGTTGGTGATTACTGATAGTCCTTTCTGCCTCAAGATCAACCCTTGAGGAGGAGGCGTTGTTGATGGCGGATTGGGCACGGGGTCCTAGGAAGACTTCGCGGGTGTAGCGAATCGCTTCGGCGAGGTCGGACGGTATGGCTACTTTTTGGCCATTGAGTAGGATGGTCTCGGTGTTTGTAATGTCGCCGTAAAGAGCAGAAAGACCGATGAAATCAGGTGCTTCGCATAGTTTCTCGTGTACCAGGCGACATACGATTCGGTCGTTGATGTCGTTATTCGGCGAAGGCTGCAGCTCCAGTATCCTCACTTCACGCGCCGCCAGATCTAGCGGCTGGTAGTGAATCGAGGACAAACCGTCTGACGGCGGTGCCATTAGTCACTGCTGTCTTAGCGATCAGATTTGGGTGGGCTCGTATGTATGTTGGTTGGTCTAGCCTTGTCTCTCTCATATGCAGGATATCATGCAAGGAGGGGGGGCACTTCACAGTTGATATGATGATGTATAGGTTGCAGTCAAAGAAGGGAGGGGCCAGAAAGTGGGAGAAACAAGGTACTTGTTTTAATCGACATTCACCAACTGGTTTGTGCGTTTTTTTTTAGCAGCCCAAGTAGTTAAAAAAAAAACCTGCCAAGACCCTGGAATGTGGCCCAACGAGAGAAAGTTGTTCCCACTCAGTACTGCCGGGTTTGGACATGTCAGGAATGAGGAAGATCTCGGCAAGGATTCGCACGAGCTAACAGCCTAATAGGCAATCCACTACCGTTGCTGCAGCTGATAACATGACCCGAATCCCAGACAAGTGATTAAGATACCACTAGCAAATCAACCGTCCCAAGCCCATCCCGTACGCCATTGATCGAGATCATTCTAGTCTAGTCATATAGAATTTAGAGCCAGGCCTGATGCAGAGGAGTAAGATGCTTGTCAGTAACTCTAAGATAAACGCTGACTCGTGGCAATTGACATCTGCGGAGGAGGAGATTTGAGCGGCGTCCTTTGAGGCCCGGCCCGGTTTCAATTCTTGGTCAGGACGTGGAAATGCTAGTTTAGCGTTGGTGATATGATTGTCCCTTGTCTAGTCTCAGTTTAGCGTAGGTGCTCTGTAGCTGAACGCGGAATACCAATCTGATGTCATGATGGTGTATCGCTCGTGACGAGGACTGCCGGCTTTACGCCTGAGACAACGCCTTCGACTTATCACATTTCTAGTAAGTAATACAGAAGGACCAAAATCTTCCAGAGCTTCTAGAACGTGCCACCTTTTACTTCTGTCTCCGACCAGTTTCTGCTCCATTGATGTACGTGCTGTGTCTCACCGCCCTCCTTGGCAAGAAGACGTAATCATACCTGTCCCCCTTCCAAACTCGGCAAGCGTTCTCTTTCTCCGATGCAAGTTGGTGACGAACCCGCATTCTTTGGTAAAAGGAGTGGAGCTGGATCTGTTCACGTGTAGACAGGAGAATGGCTTGTTGCTTGACAGCGTGGATCTGCTAAGTGCCGAGTTATGCCACGTTCGGTACTAGCGCCGGGAATCGATCACGCAAAGATTCCGCCGAACGGCTTATATCCTATGGGATTTTAGCATAATCACTTAAATCTGCATGCTGGATGCAACATTACGATGCAACGTAGACGAGCTGTCAAAACACCTGATATGATGCTGTATCCCACCATCATGATATGAAGCTCGCGCCTTCGCCTTTACGATTGAGACATGTACAGCGAGTTGTTTCAGAGACTGGAGTACTTCTAGATTGCGGTTTGTCCGTCGAGGATGCTCACTGAGACATTTAACAAACATGCACCAAAACCCTTGGCCGAACTCCCTCGGTGTTGGGCCGTTGGCTACCAAACCCACCACACCGTCACGATGATCTGCAAAACAAACTTCTCGATCCAAGACACGTCCCCGGTAATCAAGAGGGGGGCAAGTGGATCGTCACCACCAGTTCAATTTGTGCATCCCTGTTTTTTTTGGATCTAGACCCCAGTTGATATGCCTCACCAACAACCAAATCAATCTGAAAGAATTGCAGAACCAACAGACCTACTACAAGACAAATTGATAATTCTTTCAAGCATGTACAGATATCCCTCGGTGTTACCAGCTGCGCCTTTTAGTCGGCAGTCTCCCTGTGATGGAAGTGAAGTTATAAAGGAAGCTCGTGAACCGCCCTAGTAGGGATCTAACAACGCTCAGACTCACTTACCCTCGTAAACTATCAACTCGCATCTAATCTCCCCTTGTCGATCGAAATGTCTTTCCCCTTGTGTCTACCCTGGCCTCAGCAAGCCTACTGGGGCGAGTTTAACCTCAACGGGCTCAAGATAAAACCCAGAGACCGTGCCCTACACGATTCAAGTCCCACCGCTGATATCCCCCCGTACTTCTGGGGCAAGGGTCTCCGGGGCCGTGGGCTCGGGAGATTCCTCACCCGAAGGCCAGCCAAGCCCAAGCATACTGGGTACACTGAAGCTAGAAGTCTTATCGGACGCGGAACTGTTGATGATCTCCAGAGACTGTCGTATCATGCAAGCACTTTCGTTATCGAAGTGTTTGAAGATATCGAAGATGCTTCGGGTGCTTCCTCGACTGAATCCTTGTCGTCGCCTAGTTCAGGCCCCAGAGTAACTCAGCTAAGACTCTCCCCTGAGCTAGAGGCATGGAAATCGTCCCAGCATGCGATCGGCAATGTCTTGCCGCCCAAGGGCGCTGGGCTGAGCCCTGTTTCCCAAGAGATCCTTCACATCCTTGGCGCAGAGGATTGGCCTGAAGCTCTCAAGACGACGAACGCCTTGTTTGGATGCGGTATTGCTAGTCTTCTCATGGGTGCTGCCGATTCAAGAACCATGTTCTCCAACTATGTCACAGACATGGCGTTCTATTACGAACACGGATACAACTATGTCTTTCCCAACCTTGAGCCGCTACTGGAGAAGGGTCTTAATGATCCTCATGCGCTACGAACCCCTGGCGGTCGGGAGCGTCGCGATGCCGTCGCGATTGGCAAGCGATACATCCAGGGCAAGATCGCCCTTGAGAAGAAGCACAAGGGCCATCTGCTAAACCGTTCTGCGCGTCTTGATCGACGCACCGCTCAGATCGTTTCCCTCTCTGAGAGTAGTCTTCTTGGCATGGCAGCTGAAGCCACAGCACGAGGCTTTGACCCTGGCGCCGTCATGGCCGATCTTGTCTTCAGTTCACCAGGAACCGATGTCGTTGACGTTGGATGCGACCTTGTTAACTCCGAGGTTATGAACTCGTTCCTGAATGTCACTGACATCACGGACAGTGGTGTTGTAAGCGAGGATGTTTTGAGGAGGGTTTATGATGCGTATGCTGTGATGGGCGCAAGGATGCTCACTCAGCGATGGCACGAGCCCGTTGCTAGGATGTGTGCTGCACTTTATACATGGCATATTCAGAACGATCGTCATATGTTCTTCCGTCGTGCTTTGTTGGGTTGGTCGAAGGCGAGGAAGACACCTGCTCAGCCTCAAAGTGAGGGTGATTTTGATGAGGTGTTTGACAAGCAATTCCGTCTCACTGGATTCTCTCGGCCTCTGGATGTCAAGTACGCGTGCAACGGCGAAGACACTTGCGATCACGTCCACGAACGTCTTGAGCGCCATGACGAAGAGCCTCTCCTTAAGGAACTCTGGTGGTATCTCGTCACTGGTCCTCTTGAATACGTCCGGGGCGGCAAGGTCGACGAGGCTCGCGAATTGGAATTAGCCGAAGGGTCAAGACTAAGAATGGCCAAACTTTTCGCTAGAGGCCGGGTATTGGAGATGGTCTGGCTGATTGCCCATGCAAACCACCATGCTTGGCAGGTCAACTACTTGTTCGAGGCTGCCATGTTTGGTAGCATTCTCGATGGCGGAAAATTGATTGGAAAGCTGGATAGAAAGGATCAATGATTATGGGACATGATACGATGATGATTGGATGATTGAAGGTCTACGTTGTGTTTCTTAGAATTGCTTGAGTTATGATATCTCTTATGTTTAGTATAGATTACGAATTGATCTTCTACGTTATTTCACCGTGCCCTTGCTGGTAACTGCTTTTGCAATTATTTATGTATTTAATGATCAAACTCTATTGGGATAAATGAGTCGCTATGCAATGATATAACGGCGGAAGAAATTAATCAGCGAATGATACCGAAATGCAAGACCTTTGCCATAACCACATAAATGTCATATTCCATCTGCCGTCTGTCAACATGTCATGTCAGACTTAGTCAACGGCTAAAAATGGGCTGACACGATTTCCGGGTCCAAGCCGACCTTCTATTCCCCCATCCAACAACGCATCACCCAGTGTTACATCACCTGAACCCTAAGCCGCTGCAACATTCGAAATGTCACTGTCACTCCCCTTGCTAGACGAATACGCAGTCGCATCGGTGCCGGGACGCCACGTCTCGGCGTCACCCAGACGGTCGGACGTAAGTCCGCTGCTTCCGGGGTTCTTGAAACCACGTTCTTGTTGACGTTGGAAGGAGATCCTCCGAAGACGCTCGGTCTCTGCGGGCGTTAGGTGAAGCTGCGAATCCTTGTTAGATCGTCATTGGGGAAAGGACTTGGAGATCGACTTACATAGACTTCAATGCCGATAGCGTGGATAGCTAGTGCTAGCCAAATGCCCATGGAGAACCCTAGCGATAGAGCGGATGCGATGTTCTCGGTACTCTCGCCTGACATGTCACCTTGTATGGCAACCCAGGCATTTAGATCCTGACAGGTGGGATACTTGGCGATCAGAGACTCGGTGTCGTCGTAGAAGGAAGCAACCTTGGCGCATTGCATTGGAAGTCGGAAGCTCGGGGTCTTGGACATGACCAAGGCAGAGATAATCATGATTATTCGCAAAGTAATAATTGAGCCAGCCTGTGAGTTTTAGCCTGTGATGTACTACTGAGGTTAATAAAAAGCTTACGTAGAACCATGCACGAAGCATCCAAGCGCGATGTTGCTCGAGCTGCAGTGTCTTGATGTTCCATATCGCCAAAAAGAGTGACCCAAGAAACATGATCGACATGAGACCTACAGCGGCTCTAACCGAAAGTGAGCCTCCGAAGGCGACGGGTGCAATAATAATGGCACCGACAGTCCCGATAACAGTTAGAACAACGACGATATATCCATTCATACGATGAAACAGCAGTGCTTTGTATCGTATGAAAGGAACAAATTGAAAGACGACAAGAAACGAGGCCGGAATGATGGTATATAGATGCATTTTGACGCCGATCTTGTAAAGGTCCCTTCTGTTGTAAGACCAGCATTCACCTGGGCCCGCACCGTTACCAGCGCTGTTGGGATTGCAGTAAATGCCATTGTAATTAAGGAACATCATTCGGGCGAGGGCGAAGCCAAACATGGCGCCAGCGAAGATGAACCATAAGATGAAGTTATAGCCTTTGGAGAAGCCAATTGGGTTGTAGACCTTGCGGGCCTTGGCGACGAAGGTGTTGGCTGGAGGACGCGTTGGAGCTGCCATTGTGTCGAGTTTGACCAGTTTTTGTCGGATTAATGCGAATTGTTGCGACGATGAACAAACTGAAGACAAACGCCCATTGAGAAATTGACATGATATATACAACTACTGCTTCGCTACGAATAATCAGCCCTGTGTCGGCAGTGAACATCATAGCAGTCATCCCCGATCCTCTGGCGCATATTGAATCTACAATAGGACAAAGCGAACGGCAATCTCTAGCATTCACTTTGCCAAGCCTGCAAGGAACCCAATCAAAGCGAATGCGAACCCTTGTAAACGAAAATGCATCGTGGAGTCTTGGGCGCTAAACCACATCGAGACTCAATCTGCGCGGGAAGAAGTCAATGCCGTCATCAGACACGTCGTGACAGGGCTGAGTTGACCCAAAGCGAAAGAGAAGAACTAACCAAGGATTCAATTTCGAGGCCGAGTCCTGCGGCTGTTTATTTTCCGTTCGGTCTGATGCTGCCACTTTTATCTTTATCCTGCGGATGTCAGAACGTAATCTCTGAGTTGACGGCATTTAAACAGCCAACAACCGAAAATGGTTGGTGTGCCGGGTAGATCCAAGGCATGCGTCACATGTCGAAGGCGGAAGAAGGGTGTAAGTCTATCGGCCTCTCTAACGGTCGCTGCTGATAATTGGCCAGTGCGATAAGAAAGTACCCTTTTGCGGTCAATGTCTCGCCATGGATATCCCATGCGAAGGATATGAGCGTCAGCAAATATGGCTCAACAGCGAAGGTTCCACACAAAGGTCCTATACCAAGTCCCCATCACGGAGTCCATCTTCATCGCCGTCCAATTCAAGCCCACCTGCCCCCGTAGTGATACTTCACGACTCGCTCACGAGGACAGCTCGAACCCAAAAGTTCGCTGGTCTTTTCTGGTCAGATTATCTGTCTGGTGGAAGTGGCTTCTCACTCAAAGCATCTGGGATAACCAGTGCGAAATGGATGGCACTCTATGAGGTTCTGAGTGACGCTGAAGCCAGTCTTCAATACGTCGCCATGGCGCTCAGCACAGCAACGCTTGGCGCGACCAATAATGATGTCCAACTCATGAACAAGAGTCAACAGGCGTATGGATTAGCAATGCAGCAAATGGCAACGTCATTTATATCTCCATCACGAAACAAGGATGGTATTCTCGCTGCTATTCAGCTCATGCGAGTATATGAGGTCAGATAACCCATGAGTCTTGCCAATGGAGATGCTGATTGGCCAACAGCAATTATTCGGCACAGGCATTTCCGCAGCTCAAAAGAACTCACCCGTGTCGCAGATCAAGGGTTTCAGAAAGCATATAGATGGGGAGACTGCTCTGATATTGAGTCGTGGCCCTCAGGATTCCTGGTCCTCCATGGGAAAACAGCTACTAGCAGATGGTCGTCTAACTTTGGTGAGTCTCAACTTGATATGCTTCCTCGTGGGCTGACAAATATAGATCAACGCATACATCTCACGGCGCAAACGATCACCATACAGCCAGGGTTGGAAACAATCACAACTCTGGCGCTCAGTAACAAACTCCCCTCTCAACCAACTCATTGATATCTTGGTTGAAGTACCAGCGCTTCTAGAAGACCTCGATATCTTCCGAGAAGCTCCAAGCAACGAACTCTATAATTCAATTCTGACTCGATGTCGCACCTGCGAGGTTGAGATATTAGCGCTGGGGTTGGGATTTGGCGAGTCGCTCACTACCTACGACTATACATATACCAGGGAGCCCTTACCGGTACCCAAGAACGACGATGATCTTGCGATCGTTTATCTGAGCTGCTACTACTGGATGACTTGCCTCTTCATATACTCGACAATGGGCTTCTGCGAACTCGAATCCATGGATTCATATGCAAGAGGACCGATGCTGAATTACCCGAGTCAACGAATTGCAATGTCGTATGCTTACAAAATCGCGCATGCCATCCACTTATTATTCGAACCACCAGCTGGGACCTACAGCTCAGTAGCCGCATTCTTCCTTCTGGGGACTGCTCTACGATATCTCATCATGGTAGAGACTCATGGCGGCCATGATATCATGAGTAAAGAGAGGCTATTGTTGGTTAATATATTTACTCGACCATTCCTAGGGAGCTTTGTTGGGAGGTTTCTGCAAAACCTGCAGGTGGATGACGGTATTGACTATGGATATCCTGCGGACATCCTTCTAGGGATGAGAGGTATTGAGTATAGAGCCAGAGTCTGGTGGTGCGGAATGCTTCAGGCTGGATTGCCGGAATTTACGCTAGAAGATCCATGTTATCCGTCAAAATGACAATTTGTGTTATATATGTTATCATCCTCAAACTATATACAAAGGAGCCTCCAAGCCATTATGGCAAACGAGCGTGTTAACCCGGCATCATTCAATCATAAACAGTGCTTAATCGCTTAGCAAATGTTCTTCTGGGCGTTGCCAGTAATGCCCCAGTAAATGTTCTCAGCACAAGGGGACTCCCGAACAGTGTTGCTGTTGACCTGAGCCTTGACGTAAATGCCACTTGTGTTGGGGAACTCGCTTCGTGCTGAAACGCGGACCTCGCCTCCTCTGTTGATGACACCATCTCGAATAGCAAAGTTGTAGCAGTTCTCAATGAGAATAGCATTGTTGCCATTATCAGCGAGATCAATGTTCTTGATCTCAGTGGCACCGGACATGGAAACACAGAAGATACCGCGACCGCCGCCTCGTGAGTAGACTTTATCGATAAAGACGTTGGTGGTGGTGTATTCACCATTGGCGAGTTGGCCATTGTTGTTGGCGAAGCGAAGGGTAGCATACCCGGTGCCAGCTCCAGCATTGATACCCTCGACATAACCGACCTTGACGTTTCGAGACTCCTGGATGAGTAGGCCGCATTCACCGACATCCTTGGCCTTGACGGACGTGATAGTAAGACCGTCAATCTTGAAAGTCTCAACAGCATGGCTCCCAGCACCGGTAACCACGATATTTCCCATAGAAACATCGTAATTCCAGTTCGCATCGCGATCGAAGCGAATACCTATCCCACCACTAAGGTTCAAGGTAATATCACCAAGCGCTAAGTTCCTCGTACCCGAGAATCTCAAACCAAAGTACGGATTACCCGTCATCTTGAGATACGGAATCTTAACATCGTTCTGGTTAATAGCTTCAATAGCACCACGACCAGATTTGTTGCCGACGTTCATAGTACCGCAGACTTCAAACGTCTTTCCGCTGGTGATGCTGATGGTGTTGGCGCCGATGCTGCCGGATGCTCGGACCGTGACGCGTTGGCCGCTGCTGATGCGGTCGAGGGCGGTTTGGATGGCGAGACGGTAGTCGGTGCCGGTGTAGACGTTTGCGCCGTTGACGGTGGCGGTGAAGGTTCCGGAGCCGGAGACTACGCCTTGGGGGGAGCCATCGCCGCAGGCTGCGTTGGCGGCGGTGATGAGGGCGAGACCAGCGGTCAGGACGGAAGAGAGATGCAACATCTTGAAGAGTCCTCAAGGCTTAAAGCTTCAGGTGAGCTATTGTATTATCGAAACTGATCCATCGCTGTCTTTATATAGTTGAAGCAAATTTATAGTGGTGATCAACTATTCGTGCGCTTTTTCACCACGATGATCCCCCAAACCGGCGATGATAGCTAAATTCGACTAACAGCACAAGGATGCACGTCTTGGCACAGAGGGGTACGTGATGTTCCATGTCAATAACGAGATGCCATTTCGGGTCACGCGGAAGTTTAACCTCCGCAGGGGACGCTGCGATGCATATTCTGGGGTATTCTCCCACCTATCACACCGGAGTAATATGAAGCTTACCGGAAATAAAGCACGTTAGCCTGGAGCTCGGCACTTGTTGTCAAGAAGTCTTTCGGACGACCATGTTTTAAGCTTGAATTAACTTCCTGAAGTGGTTAGATGTTGAAAATTAAGCTTAGCATGTCGCTGTCAAATGACCCGAAGAACCGAGGTGCCAACACGTTGTATCCGTTTCAATTAGTCCTTTCTCGCAAGCCGAAGGTTCCGTATTTACAGTTCAAAACAAATCCCAATCTTGGTCGAAGAGTACTGTCTATATTGCGACCAGGTAATTTTGACTCATTGTTAATCTGTTTGATACGCTACAGGCGGTTCTTCAGGATTACATACACAATGAAAAGTGATCTTGTTTATTGCGACATTAAGTTGATTTTTGCAGCCAAAGTCTCACGTGAATTTCTTCATCTGCGTGGAGTTACCCCATGAGAATTGCGTCCTGAGCTCTATATGCAATAAGCGATTCATAGTCATGGGGATAATTGAATAATTGCACCCTTGCATGCGGCTGAGCAACAAATCAGGCTGTGCAACTTGAAATTTCAGCTCTACCCCTCAACTCTTCTGCCTGTCGTATGATCAGCATCATCTCTTTTTGTTGCCAGGAAGCTAAGACATTTGACTCCAATGCTTCTACAGGGTCGTAGGCATGGCTTCATCCGAGGGTTCTCAGTCTTTGCTGCCTAGGCGACAACGGGCTGATAGCGGGGATAGCGCCCAGTCCTTGCAATACGATGACTACACAGTCGGGTGGATCTCCGCCCTTCCGCTTGAGATGACGGCTGCTCAAGCTATGCTGGATCACAGACATGAGCCACTGCGCCAGCATCCACAGGACAGCAACTGTTACGAATTCGGAAGCATCAAGGGCCATAACGTGGTTATCGCCTGTCTACCCAAAGCACAGTATGGCAACAATAACGCGGCCATTGTTGCGAATAATATGAATCGGACTTTACCTCATCTTCAACATCGTTTACTGGTCGGTATCGCGGGTGGGGCACCTGGGACAGTTGACGTACGCCTTGGAGATGTCGTGGTCAGCACAGATGCCATACAATACGATCTGGGGAAAGCCTTGCCCAACAACCACTTTCAGCGAATTGCTAAAGCTACCAGTCCTCCCCAGGCACTACTGACTGTCGTTTCAAAGCTTGAGGCGAGCCATAGAGGAGGCCAAAATCGAATGCTTGAGATTTTGGCTGAGAATGCAGCTCGCCTCCCTCATTACTCCCATCCAATGGTTGAGGATCGTCTCTTCCACCATGAGTGTCCCCATACTTCCTCAAGTTCAGACTGTGATCTCTGTGATATATCGCAGCTTATAGTCAGGGAGCTGCGTCAAAACACCAACCCGGTAATCCACCACGGCCGGGTTGCATCAGGAAACCAAGTTATCAAAGATGCACTTACTCGAGACAGTCTATCCAAAGAGGTCAAGAATATTTGCTTTGAGATGGAGGCAGCAGGTGTTATGGATACTTTTCCTTGCCTTGTGATCCGTGGTATATGCGACTACTCAGATTCTCACAAAAACAAGGGATGGCAGGAGTACGCAGCTTTGGTTGCCGCGTCGTATGCTAAAGAGCTTCTGACATCTATACCCCCTCAATTATTGCAGCCTTCTAAGCGAAGAAAAGCCCAGAAACCCACAGCTCCGGAGCCTCTCAGCTCGGAAGTGGATGATTGTCTGAGAGAGATGTTTGTGACAGACTCTTCACTAGATCGCGAGAGCATTCTCGATGCCAAGGGTGATATCTGCGAGGGAACCTGTGAATGGATTCTGTCCACAGATGAATTACAGACTTGGGATCAGAATCCTCCTCATCTGTTATGGATTTCCGCACCACCCGGCATGGGTAAGACATTCATGTCTATTCATCTTTCTAAACACTTTGAGGCTATTTCCAAGGAGAACTCTGGAGCTGCGACTATTTTTTTCTTCTGCGACAGCAAGGTTGAATCAAGAAATACGGCAGTGAGCATTCTCAGAAGTCTCATGCATCAACTCATCTCGCGTCAGCCAAGCCTTATTAACACAATTATACCGCAGTGGAAACAACAATCACAGCGGCTGTTTCAAGAAGCCTCGTTCGGTGCTCTATGGAAGCTCTTTGAAGACATGATTGCCAAATCAGAGTTCAAGACTATATACTGCGTCATCGATGCCCTTGATGAATGCGAAGCCAACTCTCTGTCACTTCTGCTCCGAAAGTTCGAGAGACTTAGTCGAGGGCGTTTGGGCTCATCTCCCAAATTGAGGCTCATATGCCTCAGCAGAAGGTATCCAGAGAACATACCCGAAGCTCTTTTGCTTTTTGCAAAGATGGAATTAGATTCGATGACTGCCAGAAAAGAGGATATCAATCAATTCATCACGTCTCAACTCCAGGAACTCGCTCAGAAGAAAAGGCTCAGTCGTGAGATGTGGTCTAGCTTGGAACAGACTTTCCGAAAGAAATCTGAGGGGACTTTCCTTTGGATTAGCTTCATGGCTCAAGACTTGCAGAAACAGAGATTGCTTGATTTTGAGGCGTCTCTCGAGATGCTACCAGCTGGATTGGACGCAGTTTACGACAGGATTCTGCAAAATATCGACTTTGAAAAACAGGAAATGATTCGTGGCATCCTCTATTGGGTTCTCGTCGCTAAAAGCCCTTTTACGATATCTCAGCTGTGCGAGGCAGTCGATATAGAACCACGAGGGTTCTTGACGCGCGAAAATGTCTGCATCGAGCTGATCAAGTGTTGTGGCCATTTACTTCAGATAAAAGATAAACACAACCGATCCTACACGAAACAGACGGTCACATTTCTCCACCAAAGTGCAAAGGATTACCTGATGAAATCCGAGCGCAGGCAAATAACAGGACTCGCCCTTCCCCAGCTGCACGAGCACGCCACGATTATTTTGATTCGATACCTGGAAAGCATCAGCAGCCACCCTGGGATTGAGAGCAGACAATGGCGTGATATAATGAAGGATTTCCCAATGGCCGATTATGCTATGCAAAATTGGCATCGTCACTTCGATACGCTAGAAGATATTACTCAAGTCATGCAGCAAGGAGCGAGATTCTTTGAAGAAGATTCAAAAGCCAGACTAATGTGGCAAAATCTCTGTAGTTTCGATGATGACGATGATTATTATTCCCCTATGCCCTTGCTACATTTGTCTGCCAAGTTGCTTCTAAACAGGTTGACCGAGTGGTGCTTGAGAAGTGATCGAGAACTCGATCTCGAGGCTGAATGGGGTATGTCTCAACATACGGCGCTTTTCTATGCTTGCGAAAAGCAGCAGGAATACATCATAACTTTACTTCTTGATGCAGGCGCCAACGCCGTCGCCGCCCATTGTTCACACACCAATGCTCTTGAAGCAGCTTTATCCTACTGCAACAGACACATCTTGCACATTTTGGCACAATCAGAATCTTGCAGGAATTTTTTAATCGAGAAAGGTTCTAAGGAAGATGGCAGCTTGATCAATGTTGCTGCTGAGAGCGCAAATGAGGATGCGTGTCGCTTCTTGATCGAGGATCTTGGATGGGACCCCAACTGGCAAAATGGGAGAGTTGGCCAGTTGGCCCTGTCCTCCGCCTTGGAAAATGGCCACGTCAATCTTGTCAGGTGTTTTGTCAAAGAGTGGAATGTTCCCATTGGGGATCACTCAGACAAACTAAAAGCAGCTTGCTCCGCTTTTACACCTGAAGATGATTTCGAACAATGTATACGATTCCTAGTAGATCATTGCTCCGTTGATATCAATGCTACAGATGAGGAAGGTCACAATGCTTTATGTGCCACGTTCCGAACATGGGATTATTGGACGTTTTCCAGGACAAGAACATTATTACAATTTGGCTGTAGTCCTGACCAGCCCGACAGGCTCGGCCTAACACCTATGCACTGCCTCGTAATAAAAAACTCTCATTCTGAAACGTCGAATTTCCTAGACATCATGGAACTTTTAGTCGGTATGAGTCAAAACGGTGTCAACCAAGTGTGCTTGAAGGGGCAGACAGTATTGCACTACCTCATACTAGGCTTACCGGCCTTCCTGACTCAGTCAGTTCGTCACAGATTTGCAGACGGGCCCCCTCTCTATTCGATGCTATCAGCAGTAATTAGCCTTTTGGACTTGGGTGTTGACCGAAATATCCGAAACAGTAACGGATATACTAGCCTAGATATTTTGCGAGTTGTGCAGGCCACTATTGACCATGAATGGAAAGGATTAGCACAGGTGGAGGTAATTATGAAGTCTGTGAATCTAGCTATTAGAGTGGTTGAAAGTTACTCTACCGTTCCTAAACACTAGGATAGCACCTGGATTTAGGGCAGTTGTGGCCATCAATCGGGCATTCACTACCGCAGGATTATTAAGTTTAATTCTTACAAGTGTTAGGTTCTAAGTCGAGGGAAATATAGTGTTAAACTACTGTTTTTTACTGTCAAAATTACAGACGATACACCAACTTCTCAGCACTAATTGGGCGCATGTACTCTTCTGGCCGCTCAATCTTTGACCTCCCACTAACTAAGCCTGTTCCAAGAAGGCGAAAACCGTCTTGTACTACTTTCTCAAGACCTCCAGGCATCAACCTCACAGGATTGGGCTCGAGCTGTGCCCTGCCTGATGGTAGTGGCTTACTCAAGAAGTTATAAAACTCTTTTGCAAACGCATGCGCGTCTGGATTCGCTGCGATAACAGCGTCTAGTTCCAGATAGTTAGCATGTGGCCGAACTCGTGAGTGACTTGAAGGAGAATGCTGATTCACTTACCATTATATCCAACTTCAACACCAAGACCTTCCCAGACGGCGCCATAGGTGGGTTTGACAGTTAGTTGTGCTGGATCATATTGCCCACCAACTGGGCCGCGAATGACTGCAAACTTTGCCGAAGGAGCCAAAGTCTCGTGGGTATTGTATACTGTCTGGCCTTCTGAGATACAGTCCAGCGCAAGGTCAACGCCGTTCCCGCTTGTAGCGTCCTTCACCTTCTGAACCCAGTCTGTATCCTTGTAGTCCACAAGGACATCATAGTTATAGGGCTGATTTCGAAGCATTTCATGCTTCGATGAACTTGCTGCGCCTATCAGTCGAATAGTCATTCCAGATACCCTGGCAGCGATACGAGCAAGCTGTGCGGCATATAGTCCAACCGAAGTGGAAGATCCATAAATGAAAAGATTGGTAATATTGGATCCTGCTAAATCCTGTCGTGGGGGACCTGAAGAAAACGGATTTGGCAACCCAAGACGGCCGAATAGGGCCTGGGCAGCAGTCAAGCCACACATGCTGATTGACGAAGCCTCTTCCAGGGTTAGGCCATCAGGTACGTTCCATACGAGGTCATAAGGAACAGCGATGTGTTCTGCGAAAGCTCCGGGTCGATCATTTACGGATGAAGCTAGAGCCATTAGTCTCTTCTCAAGTTGTCACTGATGAACTACGCACCGCCTTGGAGAAAACCAGCAACTCGTGTCCCGACTTTAACTCTGGGATCAGATAAATCACTGATCTCGGATCCAGCTTCAACAACAACTCCTGCAAAATCAGTTCCGATAATTCTTTTCTCTTGTGCTGCAATGGGCGACGAAACGTAGAGTTCATCTACTGGGTTCAGCGCTATTGCGCGCACGTTGACCAGAATCTCGTGGGAACCTAGACTTGGGCGATCGACATTCTCCACGGTTGCCTTTTTCAACGATGTATTCAAGATAAGTGCTTTCATTATGGCTATGGAGAGATTCAAGATTTGATATTGGCTTATTTAAGATGTATCTAGGGAATTATGCTGCTTTTATGTGCTCACTCCAGCTTTCAAGCGCGGATTTGTCAGCTGGCAACTGATTATTAATAAGTGATTTAATTAAGTAACGTGTTTGATAAGCGAGTGTCCCAGATAAGCGAGTGTCCCAAAAATCCCTCACCTTATATTATCACTATTTGATCAGATAATTCTCAACCACCCAACATGTCAGAGTCTTTATATGAGGCTAGGATCCTTCTTGCCCTCCAGGCTCTCCAAAATGACCCAAAATTAAGTGGCCGGAAGGCCGCAAGTATATATCAAGTCAATTACCGTACCTTAAATCGACGCCGGCAGGGAATTCAATCAAAGCATGATATCACCACTAAATCACGGAATCTATCTGATCTTGAGGAGCAGATAATAGTTCAATTCGTCCTTGACCTAGATTCGCGAGGATTTCCCCCGCGCCGCGATTTTGTGGAAAAAATGGCTAATTCTCTACTTGCCGACCGCGATGTATCACCCGTTGGCATACGCTGGGTTCATAACTTTATCCAACGGCAACCAGAGCTCAAGACACGTCGATTTCGGAGATATAACTATCAGAGAGCTAAATGCGAAGATCCGACTATTATTCGTGACTGGTTTCGCCTCGTAGAGAATACAGTCGCGAAATACGGTATCCAATTAGATGATATGTGGAATTTTGATGAGACCGGCTTTATGATGGGTATGATTGAGCCCGGAATGGTCGTTACAAGCTCAGAAAGGCAAGGGATGCCAAAGAAAGTCCAGCCTGGAAATCGTGAATGGATTACTGCGATCGAGGCGATTAATGCAGAAGGTCAATCGATCCCGCCGTTTA